GCACAGGAAGGCTCCTTGGGGGTCAAAAACAGAGGGAGTTGGCACTCTCCCTACGGGCAGTGATGTCAACCTTCCTGGGGGCCTCTTAGCTGGAATCCAACTTGGCTAAGAGATGTGTGCATACATGGGAGGATCCCGAGATATACCAAATGCAGCCTCAGAACCACGGAAAGCAAGATGATTGGCCAGAGGAAACCTGGAAGAAATGCCCCACGTAAGTAACTCAAACTACCATAAGGCGTGACTCTGAGCCCACCCGTGTGTGTCTATTCACACCTACTCTTTTTTCTCCTAATAACCACTTTACTTGTGGAAAATTATTTCTACAAAGCCAATGGGCCAGGCACCTTATCACCAGCCACTGGCCCTGGTGGTCTAATGGCTAGGATTCAGTGCTCTCACTGCTGGGGCCTGACTTCAATCTCTGGCTAGGGAAACCAAACCTTGCTGCAAGCTGCTGCAGGCCAAGGTCACCCCAGATAAGTCCATTTCTCTGAGCTCCATTTCCTATTTCATTTATTTTTGCAATCTTCCAGATCATGTCAATTAGCCCAGTGCCTGACGTGGTCACTCCACAGATGCTCCATAACCAAGAGATGGCAATTTTAACACAGAAATTCAACTTTATTCCATAAAGCATGGAACTCAGTTGCAGGCAGAGGAGGAACTGAGTTGGAATTTGCAGGAAATTGGTGCAAAGAACAGCCTGGACGGACCAATTCCCATTCCCCTGGGGAGAGTTCCCCGGAAGGCAGGTAACATGCACTGTTGCCTCCTCCATTGGAATATCAAACCTTCACCAAGTGATCACGACGAATGCCAGCTGGACAGCTGGCCCTTATCCAGGAAAAAATGATTTTGGAATGGCCACCAACCGTCCCCAGTGACTCCACATTGGGTCACATGAGAGCTTCCCGAGTAGCTCAACGGTAAAGAATCTGTCTGCAATACAGGAGATCTGACAGGAGATGCGAGTTTGATCCCTGGGAGTTCCATTCCTGGGTCAGGAAGATCACCTCGAGGAAGAAATGACAACCCTCTCCAGTATTTTTGCCTGGGAAATCCCATGGACAAAGATGTCTGGTGGGCTACAGTCTCCGCGGTTGCAGAGTCCAACTGGGCGACTAACAACACCACCAAGCCTCGTCCCAGGGCCACCAACTCAGCTCCACCAGAGTGACAGACCCTGCGTTTCTAATAAGCTCCAAGGTGAAGCCAATACTGCTGGCGGGGGGACCCTCCTTTGAGAAGCACGGATGTATGTCACCCGCCCAGAAGAGAAAACGCGGCAGCGACACCACACACTCAGTCTTCAGGGGGGATTGACAGGGCCCTGACCAGCGTCAGAGAGCGGAGCATGACCCTAGTGGGTCGGTTCCCAGGCCCCCCCGGAGCCCCGCCCAACCCCGCGCTCCGGAAGAACTGCCTCCGGGCTGGATGCAAGGTCCCAGCTGCAGCGCGGCCACAACGCGCAGCGCACAAGAGAGCCAGGCTGCGAAATCATCCGGCGGGGCGGGGGGCGGACCCCTAACCCCACCCCCTCCACCCTCGGCGCGTCCTTCGGTCTCCTGAGGCTCCGCCCCCTCCCCCTTCCCCGCCCCCCGCGCACCGCCCCCTCCTCTCCGGATCCCTGGACTCTAGGGAGGCGCCAGTAGGACTTCCTTTCTCTGATCCGAGAAGAAGAAACCGAAACCCAACTTGAATAGACTGGGAAACCGGAGATCAGAAACTGATAGGCTTAGGGGGAACTCTCCGGGGATCATATAAGGACCGCTCTGCGGGAACAGAGCCAATCCTCCGACTCTTAACTCACTCATTCTTTAATTCTAGAAACATTTATTGAAATGCTGTGTGTCAGGAACTGTGCTGGATCACAAGGATAGCAACAAACATCACCGACTTGTCCGCCAGGTTGATGGCCTGGCAGCAGACAGGGCGTACAGAAAAAGACCAAGACGGTGTGAAGAAGCCATGGTCCCGGGAAGCCGGGAGCTGGGGCGTGCGGCTCCTAGAAAGCAAGTCAAGTCCATGAGGCCAGGAGAAGGACGGAGGCTGGCTGACTTCTGGGGAGAAGCCCAAGTGGAAGATGAGAGCCCTGAATTGGAAGTTCTTGTGCAGTGAGGAGGCATTACATTCGGCCAGTGGAGGTGGGACGAGGTGTGGCTGGGCATGCCAAGCTGAGCAGGTTGGAATGCCTCTACTGGCTCCCACCCCTGCAGTGGGGTGCGGGGTTCCATTCGCTTCCCACAGGCATCTGAGCTACAGGTAGGGAGTGATGCCTAGAAGACTGCCCAGCCTGGTTTCCCATCAACACCAGTGCACCTCTCCTCTGCAAAGCCAGGCCAGCAGGTGATGAGAGAGCTGGACAAGAGCCAAAGAGACCTACAGAGCCCTGAGCACCCAGGACTGCATAGGCAGGAGGGGTTCTGGGGTCAGTGTGATTTTTTTAGCCTCATCTTGATATGCTTTCCTGGAAAAGACCCTGATGTTGGGAAAGATTGAGGGAAGGAGGAGCAGGGGGAGACAGAGGATGAGATGGTTGGATGGCGTCATCAACTCAATGGACATGAGTTTGAGCAAACTCTGGGAGATGGTGAAGGAGAGGGAAGCCTGGCATGCTGCAGTCCATGGGTTGCAAAGAATAGGGCACGACTGAGCGATTGAGCAGCAACAAATGCTTTCCTGTGGATGCTGTGTTTCCGCCAGACACTTCAATGAAGTTAGGAAACAGTAAGAAGAGGGTAGGGGGCTTCCCAGATGGCACGAGTGGTAAAGAACCCACCTGCCAATGCAGGAAACATGGGTTCAATCCCCATAAGATACATGGGTTCAATCCTTGGGTGGGGAAGAGCCCCTGGAGGAGGACATGGCAACCCACTCTGGTATTCTTGCCTGGAAAATCCCCATGGACAGAGGAGCCTGGCAGGCTACAGTCCGTGAGGCCGCAAAGAGTGGGACCCGACTGAGTGACTAAGCACACACGTGATTACTAAGCACCCACTGTTGGTAGGTGGTTAGGCACTGGAGCATCCAAGCTTGATAGACCTTTATCAAGATGACAGCCTCATTGAGGAGGTGGCCGTATCCCCACTATTCAGAACATCCATCTGAAATGCAAAGCATCTTTGCCTGAGCTAATTAAGCCCACGGAAGGGGAGGCTGGAAGAAGTGCGACCCAGGCTTAGCTGCAGAGACAAGAAACACACAGTTGAGACTTGGCCAGAAAGGAGACTCTGGGAGCCCAGGATGACAGGTCAGCAGAAATGTGATCAGGGGTGGTGAGTGGGGGTGATGAGCCTGGAGGGCAACTCTAAAGGGCTAAGAGTTTGACACTTAACCTGGTAGAATATAGAGTCATCAGTGTCTCTCTAGTAGGGGAAGAATAGTCCATGATTCAGGTAAAAGGCTGTGAACTTCCTAAGAACAAGAGCGGCATCTTGTCAGCTGTAGCATGGAGAGAAGATGCTAGGGAACCCAGGCTTAAGAATAAAAGCTTGATTGCAGTCTAAGCTCCCCTACTTCCTAGTCAAGGGGCCCAAGAGTAACCTAACTTGTTGGCCTCAGTTTCCGCATATGTAACATGAGCGTGATGATCTTACTCCCCTCACAGGGTGGTTGTGAAGGTGAGTTACTTTCTCAGGGTGGCACCCACACACTATGGCCTAGAGCATATAAGCTATTATTGTCTTATTATTGAATTACATCCTAAACAAGCCCCTGAGTTCTTTAGGGAACTACTTTCTAAGGTGCGTATGGAAGCAGCAGGTACCAAAATCCCAGGCCAGGAGGCAAGAGGGGGAGGAGAGTGAAGCATCTGGGCACCAATTTTAAGGATGCACTTGACCTACTGAGAGTGAGCGATTCTTTAAACCCTGAACTCCAGGCACCTCACTCACCTGTTTCTAGTTCTGGCCCGGGCAGTGACTTTTGCCCTGGCCAATTTTCACTTTTGCCAGTGGCTTTTCCTGAGTTCATTTCTGTACAGGAGTCAAGGGGAGAGCCTTCTGTGGTTTGAAGAAGTAAGATCATGCCTCAGATTTAAGTCTTCACTCTTCTTTGTGTCAGCTGAAAAATATACATGCAACCTAAAAGTTGGGAGATATGCGTTATTCAGCAGAAACTTTTAGGACTGCAAGCCCAGGAGACAGCATCTCAAGTGACCCTGAGAAAACTGCCCTGAGCAAAAGGGGGCTGGGGAGAAGCCAGGTTATACAGATGTTTTGCAACAAAGAGCAGGTAGTTTGAATGCCATTTTTTTTAAATAAATTACAGAAAACCATATATCCCAAGTTAAAGAATTTAGTGGTTTTTCTTTGTATGCGCCTAGTCCAAGCTATGGTTTTTCCAGTAGTCATGTATGGATATGAGAGTTGGACCATAGAGAAAGTTGAGCGCCAAAGAAATGACGCTTTTGAGCTGTGGTGTTGGAGAAGACTCTTGAGAGTCCCTTGGACTGCAAGGAGATCCAAACAGTCTATCTTAAAGGAAATCAGTTCTGAATATTTATTGGAAGGACTGATGCTGAAGCTGAAACTCCAATACTTTAGCCACCTGATGTGCCGAAATGACTCACTGGAAAAGACCCTGATGCTGGGAAAGATTGAAGGTGACAGGAGAAGGGGTCGACAGAGGATGAGATGGTTGGATGGCATCACCGACTGAATCGCCATGAGTTTGAGTAAACTCTGCGAGTTGGTGATGGACAGGGAGGCCTGGTGTGCTGCAGTCCATGGGGTCACAAACAGTTGGACACGACTGAGCGACTGAACTGAACTGAACTTGAACATTTTGGCATTGCCTTTCTTCGGGATTGGAATGAAAACTAGCCTTTTTTAGTCCTGTGGGCACTGCTGAGTTTTCCAAATTTGCTGACATATTGAGTGCAGCATTTTAACAGCATCATCTTTTCAATCTGAAATAGCTCAGCTGGAATTCCATCATCTCTACTAGCTTTGTTTGTAGTGGTGCTTCTTAAGGCCCACTTGACTTCACACTCCAAGATGTCTGGCTCTAGGTGAGTGATCACACCATAGTGGTTTTCCAGGTCATTAAAATGTTTTGTACAGTTCTGTATATTCTTGCTACCTCTTCTTAATATCTTCTGCTTCTGTTATGTCCATACCATTTTTGTCGTTTATTGAGCCCATCTTTGCATGAAATATTTCCTTGGTATCTCTAATTTTCTCTAGAAGAGATCTCTAGTCTTTCCCATTCTATTGTTTTCCTCTATTTTTTGCATTGATCACCGAGGAAGGCTTTCTTATCTCTCCTTGCTATTCTTTGGAACTCTGCAGTCAGATGGGTTTATCTTTCCTTTTCTCCTTTGCCTTTCACATCTTTTCTTTTCTCAGCTATCTGTAAGACCTCCTCAGACAACCATTTTGCCTTTTTGCATTTCTTTTTCTTGGGGATGGTCTTGATCACTGCTTCTTGTACAATGGTACGAACCCCTATCCATAGTTCTTCAGGCACTGAGTCTATCAGATCTAATCCTTTGAGTCTACTTGTCACTTCCACTGTATAATTATAAGGGGTTTGATTTAGGTCATACCTGAATAGCCTAGTGGTTTTCCCTACTTTCTTCAATTTAAGTCTGAATTTGGCAGTAAGGAGTTCATGATCTGAGCCACAGTCAGCTCCTGGTCTTGTTTTTGCTGACTGTATAGAGCTTCTCCATCTTTGGCTGCAAAGAATATAATCAATCTGATTTCAGTGTTGACCATCTGGTGATGTCCGTGGGTAGCATCCTCTCTTGTGTTTTTGGAAGAGGGTGCCGTGATGGCTACTAGATGGCAAGTATTCTCCTTCCTGAGTGCCTTTAGGGCTCACCAGTTCACCGTAAGCTGTGGCTACAATGGCTGGTGACTGTGACATCCTTGTTTACTGATACAGCAGGAAATATTCCATTTCTCATTTGTAACTAGGAAGTAACTGAGGCCTGGATGGGTAAGCAGCCATGCAAGGGCTCCTTGATAATTGCTGGGGAAGCCTGTGTTCTCCCATTAGACCCCAGGAAAGGGCCCCATAGAACATGCCAGACTTCATGCCAGGCAGCTGCTCTGTGTGGCCCCCTCCCCTTCTTTTGGCTGCCAGCACATTGAAATTGGTTCCACTCAAGTTTTCCCCATGTGGCTGAAGAACGTCATTTGCCAAATCAGTAGACAAAAGATATTGCAGCCATCACGCCAGCAGCCACTGCATTTTTTGACCTGTGACTGTACATGCTTGAGGGATTCAGGATGAGAAAAAGTGGGATGCTGGCCCTAGACAGCTAAGGTGCACATCAAAGGAATAATTTCAAGAAGCCCAGACTCTTGCATCTTCCCATACATAGAAAAGTGCTGAATTTATGAACTTGAGATGTCTGTTTTTTCTTTAATTAACAGTAACTTTGTTAATATTTTCACTACCTGGATTTTGTTGCAAAAACTCCTATATATTCTGGCTCCTCTCTGACCTGTTTGGAGCCGTCCCTAAGAGCAATTTGAGAGGCTCTCTTCCAGAGTAAGTCCTCAGCAAGTCCACCAAGTAAAATATAATTCTCAATTTTTTTAGGTGTGCAGTTTTTTTTCTAAAGTCTACATCTGACCCCAGCACTTGGAAAAGGAGCAGTTCTGGGTCTTTGTGTAGGGGGCAGGAGACCCTCTCTAACCATAGGAGTCTTTGTAGGGAAGACACTTGTTTAGCTGAGCCAAGGAGAATGGAGGTGGGGTGCCAGCCCTTTCCAAAATGAAATTTTACTCCTCGCTCCCAGAGCCCTCCGGGGGGGCTCATCTTTGGGTCTGTTTGACCTTTGTCCCCCAATTTCTACTCATTTCCATCCTGAAGAAATCAAATGAGCTAAACTTCAGGGAGGGCTTGGGACTTCCCTGGTGGTCCAGGGAACCCTTTGCTTCCAATTCAGGGGGCACAGGTTCGATCCCTGGTCAAGAAACCAAGATCCCACATGACATGCAGAGCGGTCAAGAAATTAAAGGGGGTGGGGGGGCCGGGGGCGGGGCTTGAAGAGGATAAGGAAAATTGAGAAAGGAGCCTGATGTAGGGATGTAGGTCTGGGTGAGGAGGGGGCTAAGGGGGTAGCTCCCTAACATGCTTTAGAATCCCTACCAGTGCTGGAATGTTCCCAGTGAGCCTACAGCAGGAGTTTGATACCCAGTTATCAATGCCTGTGTTCAAACAACCAAAGGTTAAGGGACCAGCTAGGCTCCAAGCTACCTTCGGCTTTGGATGACTCAGGGCTGCTTGAACAGAGGTTCTCAAACTGCCAGGAACGTCAGAAGGGCCGGATAAAGCTCGGACTTTCTGATGCAGCAGGTCTGGGTGCGGGCCGAGAATCTGCATTTCCCGCAAGGGCCTCGGGGTGCAGTTGGTGCGGGGAGCACCTCGAGTGCCTCTGGGAGGATACAGCTGAGGGTGCGGGGCGCAGGGACCTCGGGAGGCGCCAGTGAGAAAGTGCGCCGCCGCTTCGGTTTCGGTTTCCTTTCTGATCCGCAGCCCTGAACATTTTCTAAGAGTTTCGTTTCCCCGAGGCTGGGTAGCAGAAGCGGGACGGGGAGGCGGGGTCGGCGAGCTAGGGGCGGCGCTCGCGCTGCATAAAGTTGAGGAGGGCGAGCGCTGGGAGCCTGCCGGTCACTGCGCTGGGGACGGGTAAGTGTAGCGCTCCTGGGTCTGGGCACCCTCCGCCGGTCGGGGCATTTGGGCGTTTGGCTGGGAGTTGAGCGCTCTGGGGTGCGGGTATTGCGCAGACTAGTAATAGTAAAAATGAAAATGATTAATAGTGATGGCATCCCAGAATTCTTGCCTGGAGAATCCCATGGACAGAGGAGTCTGGTGGGCTGCGGTCCATGGGGTCGTCAAGAGTTGGACACGACTGAAGCGACTTAGCACGCAATAGTGACGATGATATGATGGTGATAATGCAATGTTGGCTGGGTTCAGAGCATACTTGATTCTGCTTTCCCACCGACACGCTGCTGAGGCTCTTGAGTGACGCATCAAAATCACCAGCCCAGGTTGGGTGCATGAGACAAGTGCTCGGGCCTGGTGCACTAGGAAGACCCAGAGGGATCGGGTGGAGAGGGAGGTGGGAGGGGGGACCGGGATGGGGAACACATGTAAATCCATGGCTAATTCATTTCAATGTATGACAAAACCCACTGCAATGATGTAAAGTAATTAGCCTCCAACTAATAAAAATAAATGAAAAAAAAAAAAACAAAAAAAAACCAGCATGAAGCCCCTCCCGTCCTCCAAGCACTGGCGATTTTTCTGCATGAAGAAATAGGAAGGTGGAGCAGAGCAGGTAAAGAGGGGCTCCGAGGGAGCAAAGGAGTGCAAGTCAAGTCAACCCCGGGGGCGGAGAAGCATCCTTGGAAGCGCAAGGACCCGGGGATCTTCCCCATCTCGCTGAAAAGAGCGAGGTTGGAGCCGAGGGTCTCCGCGAACAGGTTTTGCCTGCGGGAGCTTCTCTATAGAAAGCCGGGCCGGGGCTGGCCGGGAAGATGGTGCATGCACTGAAGTGCCCTGCGCGGAGTACAAGTCGCCCAGGGGATGGAGAGCTGCTTCCCGCAGCTTGTGCAGCGGGATGCGATGGTGTAGGGCCGGGCGCAGTTAGTTTTCCGGGTGGAACGAGGTAGGACAGCCCTGGGGGCTGACCGAAAGCCCAGGCATCGCTGAGACCTGCAACCTGCAGAGCATCCAGGGGTGGCATTCTCAGAATTAATAAGTCAAATTTTAAATCAAGTTTTTGTTGGAAGTAGGGAAGTAGGAGGGGATGTGTTAATTTCTTCTTTACTGTAGTCTTTCACAGGCGGCTGGGTCAGGATGCTTCTTGTGAGCTGAAAAAGTGTTTTCTCTTTACATCCTGGCTTGGGGGCCATTGTGTTTACTCTAAGCTGTAGGGACCATCCCTTTAATGATTAACTTGTGGCAAAAGCAATAGTGTTGCAGGAAGGGGGACCCCTTCCAGGGCCCGAAACTGAGTTCTTATTTAACACTTGGAAATGGGTTGTCCAAGGAGACTCTTGTGCTGACAAAGCAAGAGATTTTATCGGGACAGGGCCCCCGGGCAGAGAGCAGGAGGGTAAGGGAACCCAGGAGAACAGTTCTGCCAAGTGGCTCGCAGTCTTGGGTTTTATGGTGATGGGATAGTTTCCGGGTTGTCTTTAGCCAATCATTCTGATTCAGGGTCCTTCCTGGCACCTTGGTCAGCCAAGATGGATGCCAGCGAGAAGGATTCTGGGAGGTGGTCAGACACGCGGTGTCTCCTTTTGACTTTTCCCGGACTCTTTCGGTTGGTGGTGGCTTATTAGTTCCCCGTTCTTTACCAAGACCTCCTGTCATAAAACAACTCATGCAAATGGTTACTGTGTGTGGTGCCTGGCCAGGGTGGGCGGTTTCAGTCAGTGTTCTTCCCTTAACAATAGAATATAAAGGTAAAAGTAAAAGAAACAGCTCTAATATGGTGTCAGATTTGTTATTCCCTATTACAATCATAAACAATTTAAATGTCAGTGAGTTTTTGGAAGGTGAAACACTTCTATGAGAAAAAGCCAATATAAATTCTTAAAGGATTAGCTGGACTGAATTATTTAGGCTGGTCTGTTCAACAAGTGCAGCCAGATGCTGAATGTGACGAGTAAGTAAAACACTGATTTTTATTACTGAGATGGCCTTGCCCCAAAATCCAAATTGATTTTCAAAGACTGTCTGAGATAGGTACAGATATTTAAGATGAACAGACAAAACTCACAAGACTTGGTTTTCACGGAATGTCACTTTATGAAACAAAGAGAGGGACTTTTTCGTTCTCAAAGCACCCATGGTCATTGAGAGCTAGCCCTGGGGATCAATGATGCCACATGACTGGGCTGGGTACAGTAAGGTCAGCTGAGGTTGTGGTCTTTAACCCGGGGCCCCAGCTCCAGCCTAGCAGCCCCTGGACACACAAAATCTTTCCAAAGGCTTGGGGGTGGGTGGTGGTTAGGAAATAAATTGCCAGACTCAATAAGTATTCTTTAAAGTTGATCACCTTTCACTATACAATGAACAGAATCCATCCCTCCCACACACTTTTTTTTTTTTAAGCAAGCTTGACCTTTCAACTTGCCCTTTCAATGTAGATCCAAAATCCACATAGGCCTTGGGAGAGAGTCCCTAGAGAAGATACAAGAAGAGCGTCAGGAAAAAAAAAAAAAAGTGTTGATCCAATACACTGACAGCAAGTCTCTCTGCTTTATCCTTCAACCTTAGAATTTAAATATTTAAGGTATACAAAAGGACTCGGGGGACTGTGAACTTCCTTCAAAGCACATCCCCTCTGCATCTTCACCATTCTCAGCAATGGGATGTATAGTGATGAGCACTGTTATGTATTGTATTCACCGGGTTTTGGTCTAATTTGTATGTTTTGCCTGATTCCAAGGCGGTGTTGGAGGAGAACTCTGCATTTCTGCCAACTAGTCAGCACTACAGTGTCAAGTAAAAGGAAGGTATATTGGAGGTGAGTGCTTTATACTTTTTATAACATGTATTTCAAGTCCTAGGAGAAATATATTTTCATTTACTTCTATCCAAGATTATTACATATTATAAGTTTTAATACTTAGAAGTTTATGGTCCCAGAAAAAAAATTATTAATTTTTAGCATATAGTCCGGTGGTTAGGACTCAGCACTTTCACTGCTGGGACCTGAGGTCAAGCCCTGGTCAGGGAGCTAAGATCATGCAAGCTATGCAACATATATATATGTATATATATGTTTGGGTATTAAATGATCAAATATTTAGAATCCCTCATCTACATTGGAAAGAGTCTTACAGTAATTTTATTTTTAAACATAAATTTTAAAATGCATGAGAAATTTCATCCTTTGTTGCTATTTAAATTTATGGTGAAAAAAATTTTTGATGTTCAACCTGTAATCATTTTGGGAAATACAGAGTTTTAAAAAAGCTTTTGGCATCCAGAAGCATGTCTTTGAAGACCCCTGAGCTGGGATGGAGCATTGTCTTCATCTGACATTTGGTTCCTCGGAGTTCTCCTGTCATTTCTTTCTGAGCTCCCACTCTATCCCTGTGTGTCCCACGGTGGGTTTGGGTCCATGACTGAACGTACCCAGCTCCTGAATTGTGTTAATCCTTATGTGCTTGATTTATGCTGAACTGATAAAGGAAGAAGATGGTTCATTCTGACTTGGATATCAAAGAACCTAATTCACCTGAATCCAGTCTAAATGGAAGTGATGATATGGTGGGGGAACGTGAAACTGTAAGTTGATGCCTGAAAATCACTATCCATGTGGACATGAACTGTTTTCACTTGTGGGCTGCCCATTGATAACAGCGATGCCATTGCTGCCTGGGGATGCTCACTTCCTTATCTCTCAAGGGGCTGGATGTGGATGCAAAGATGTGACTCATTTTGCTTGGACCCTTCTTGCAGCCAAATGCCATTAGTGTGTTGCCTTAGCTGATGCTGAAAGTGAAAGTGTTAGTCACTCAGTCATGTCTGTCTGTGACCCCATGGACTGTAACCTGCCAGGCTCCTCTGTCCATGGGATTCTTCAGGCAAGAATACTGGAGTGGGTAGCTATTCCTTTCTCTAGGGGATCTTTCTAATTAAGGAGTCAAACCAGGGTCTCCTGTATTGCAGGAGGATTCTTTACCATCTCAGCCACCTGGTTGGGGTGCAATTTTGGTCTGGAAAATCCAGGCAAGAGGCCGATGGGCTGGTGTAAGAATTGGGCCCAGGCACTGGGCCCAAGGAACCCTGTGAGATCAGGTGCCCACATCATGATTCAGTCTCGAGCTCAAACCTCCTAAGTGTCATTGTGATATCCCCGATGTTGGTCATTTAATGGACTGGAACCTGGTGGTCCGGAGTCGACGATAAGAAAGTAAGAGAGAGAAAGAGGCTGATAACTTGTTGGTCCTTTAATGGACTGGAACCTGGTGGTCCGGAGTTGACAGTAAGACAGTAAGAGAGAGAAAGAGGCTGATATCCCCTGGTTTACGCGGAAAGCCAATAGAGCCCTGTTCTTAGGGCTTGCGCTGTTGCATGTAGGCACCAGGCGCCCTCGCGAGTGGGTGAAGGCAGTGTGCCTTCTCGAGAGGGTCTTAGAAGCCCGGGCAAGAAAGTGAGCTCAGCGGGCCTCCCCGCTCCAAGGAATTTGCCAGAAATAGAGAGATAGAGAGAGAAAGAAAGAAAGGAAGAAAGAAAGACATGGGGACCAAAGCTCTGATGGAGCAAAGGTGTTTTAATCAACATGGTGTGGGCATATATACTGTCTTACAATGTGGTTATTCTCAGCAAAGACAAAGATTAAAATTCCAGACTTACAAAACATAAGATGATCCCTATCAAAGAGAGAGTTGCAAACGATCACCTTTTCATAAGAAGGAAGAGGGTACTGAAAAATGTCTGGATTCCTCAGCCCCGGGAAAGGCATGCCTCTCCTCTCAATTCCTGAATATTCAGGAACCAATAAGGACCAGAGGGTTCCGGACAGATCCAAAAAGCACACAGGAAGCCTTTTGTTAGATGCTTCCTGACACCCCGACAGTGAAGACGTGTGATGTCTTTTCTCCCAGGAATGAGACATATTTTCGGTGGGAACCAAACTTGGCTTCTGGAATCAGTTCAACCTAAATTTGATTCCACTGCTGACACTTGCAGTTGTAAGATCTTGGGTGATTACTCCTCCCTTTAGAAGCCTGGTTTTTCATTTCTAAAATGAAAATAAGAGTATTTACTTTGTGCAGCTGTTGAGAGGAGTTGGAGGCTGGGCACTTAGAATGAGCTCTGTTTATTGTTGTCATATGTTTTAAAGCAATAGATCTTCAGCTTCTTTCTAATTGACTCCATTTTCATAATCAGTGGTTAACAGTATTTTAAACAATATTGTAAACTACACCGAAGGACACAGAAAAATAAGAAATTCACCGATCTTTCCAGCACCATGATGTAACTGTTGTCTCTTGCCTGGCTGTAACTGGCAAGGTACAGGGCAGTAGGAACTCATAATGCTCACACCCACATGTGTGAATGTTGCTGTTTTTGTTATTCACTTGCTAAGCTGTGTCCTTCTCTTTGAAACCCCATGGACTGTAGCATGCCAGGCTCCTCTGTCTTCCATCTTCCAGAGTTAAATTCATGTCCATTGAGTCGATGATGCTATCTAACCATCTCATCCTCTGCCAAGCTCTTCTCCTTTAGCCTTCAATCTTTCCCAGCATCAGAATCTTTTCCAGTGAGTTGATTCTTCGTATCAGGTGAATGTAGCTTGGCCCTTGGCCTTTCTGGCCAGGTTGAACAAGGTGTATCTTAAGACCCAGAAATTCCACTTCTAGGTGTTGACCTTGGTTCTCAGAGTGTGATCCCCAGAGAAGCAGCATCAGTATCTCTGGGGAAGTTTGAAATGCAAACTATCACCCTCGCACACCCTTCCCCAGACCTAGTGAAATTTCAGGGGTGGGGCCTACCATCTGTGTTTCTACAAGCCTTCTAGGTGATTTTTCTTTGTGCTGAAGTTTGAGATGCATTTTGCCATGTTTGTACAGCAATTTTTATAAGCAAAACCAGAAATAACGTAAGTGACCATGAGTAGTGGAATGCATACATAGATTGTGGTATGCAGCAGAATTCCACACAGCAGTGAAAAGTAATGAGCTAGACTTCCAGGTATCATGATGGCTGGGTCTAAAAAACAATGGTGTGGCTGGTGGCTGTATGGTTCAGGCTCAACAATTTAACTGCCATAGCTTGGATTCAATCTGTGGTTGGCAGACTAAGATCCCCTGCAAGCCACATGGCATGGCCAAAAAAAAAAAAACCACAAAAAGTAAATAACAATAAATAGACAGTGGTGAATCCCCTAGAATCAGGTCACAGAAGAAATATACTGTATCATTCCATTTATATAAAGATCCAGGCAACCATAAGACATGTATTTTTTAGGGAAAGATGGGTGGGTGGTAAAACAAATGAAGAGCAAGGACATAGTAATCATAAACCTGAAAATAGAAGGACCGTCTAGAGGTAAAGGTGTTTTAGGAGGAAGGTACCTGGGGAGGGGTGGATGAAATATCTCAAGTACAGGGAATATGTATTTTCTTAACCCAGGTGGTTGGCACATGCATTTTGGCTAATTATTGTTCATGTTTTATAAACTCTTGGGAATGGGTGATATAAAGAAATGAAAACAAAAAGAACCCATAAGGAGGGCTAAGAGGCCAGTGAGGAGTATGAAGGTACAGCCAAGTACGTGCATAGCCACCACCAGGCTTTCCCTGGGGATTCAAGCTCCAAACCTTTCTTAAGTGTCGTTATTGAGAAAACTCACACAGGACACTTGTTTAAAAATAGTGGGGAAGATTTTATTCAAGACTGTTGCAATAGAGGAGAGAGCTTGAACTTGGTGTGGATACAAGGACAATTGGGCAGGACAGAGGAGAGGAGAAGGAATTTCCAAGATTAATTTGGGAAGGCTAAAGGGAGGTGAGGAACTGATGCTTTCGAAGTGTGTTGCTGGTGAAGCCTCTTGAGAGTCCCTTGGACTGCAAGGAGATCAAACCAATCAATCCTAAAGAAAATTGGTTACCACAGCTTTAATAATGATTATGGAAATCAGGTCATGTTAACCCTCCAACTCTTTTCTTTTTCAAAGTCATTTGACTATTCTAGGAGTATTTAAACTAGTTAGATTTACTGTGATTGTTAATATAACTGGACTTGGAAAGATCATTTTGTTATTTGTTTTCTATTTGCCCTATTCTTCATTTCCTCTTTTTCTGCTTTCTTTTGAATTAACCAAGTTTTTTATGATTTCATTTTATCTCCTTTGTTGGTTTATTGAGTAAAACTATTTTAGGGAATATATTATGTCTTTAATTTATCAAGTGTACCTTCAAGTACTAATATATTATTTCATATATAATATAAGAACCTTATGATAATATGTGTCCATTTCTCTCCTCCCAGCCTTCATGCCATTTTTGTCATGAGTTTCTATTTTATCAATATTTTAAACCCCCACATTACATTGTTCTTATTGAAATGGCCAAATGTCTTTTAAAGATATTTAAGTAATAAAAAAATATGGTAGTCACCATTTCTGGTGTAAATTCCTTGGTGTAGACTAAAATGTCCATTCAATATCATTCTTCTTTGGCTTGAAGGGCATCCTAAACATTTCCTGTAGTGCAGGTCTGCTAGTGATGAATTCATTCATTTTTGTACATCCAGAAAAGTCCTTACTTTCTTATTTTTAAAGATATTTTTTTCTGAGTAGAAAATTTTAGGTTGATGATTTTTCTCAGTACTTTAACAAAGTTGCTACACTGTCTTCTCATTTGCATAGTTTCTACTGAGAAATATGCTATGAATTTCATGTTTGTTCCTCTGTACATAACATGTCATTTTCTGGCTGGCATTCTGTCATTATCACTGATTTTGACCAATTTGACTATAGTGTGCCTTGATATAGTTACTTTATGTTTCCTTTGCTCTGGGCTCATTGAGCTTTGGGGATCTTTGGGTTAATAGTTTTCACCAAGTTTTAGGACATTTTAGCTATTGTTTCTTCAAATATTTATTTCTGTTTTACCCTCATTCTCTTGACTGGGGAGCTCTCATCACTTGTATACATTACGATGATTGAAGTTATCCGTCTTTGATGGAACGTGACCTGCAGGCTATGATAGAGATCTCCCATTCTGCCTCTTCCAGGAGTCCAAGGGCAACCTGTACAGCCAATATGAGGAGAAGGTGCGGCCCTGCATTGATCTCATCGACTCCCTGCGGGCCCTGGGTGTGGAGCAGGACCTGGCCCTGCCCGCCATCGCCGTCATCGGGGACCAGAGCTCAGGCAAGAGCTCTGTGCTGGAGGCTCTGTCTGGGGTCGCCCTCCCCAGGGGCAGTGGTAAGCGCTTGCCTTCTGTGTTGGTTAGCTCAGGCTGCAGTAACAGAGGACCTCAGACTTGGGCTTAAACAATAGAAGTTTATTTCTCAAATTTTGGGAGGTTAGAAGCCCAAGATCAAGGTATTACCAGGGTTGGTTTCTCCTGAGGGCTGTGTCCTCCGCTTACCGATGGCAGTATTCTCTTTGTGTCTTCTGGGGGATGGTGGAGGATGTTTGCAGAAGTCTGGGGTTTCCCACTGCAGTGTACTGCCTGGGCTGATGGGAAACACTGGGGTGAAGCAAGAGATCTAAAGTAGGTGATTTCAAGTCAAACTCCATCTGAAATGTACATTCTAGATGCACATTCATGAGTCACCCCAGAGAGCATGCCTCAGAGAGTCAAAGGGTGAGAACAGGGAGTTTGCAGTTTTAGGAGCCTCCCAGATGATTATATACAAATTTAAGAACCCCTGGTCGAAGACCACCATATAGGACTGTTAGCAGCAGAGTATAGACCTGATGAGTAGTGGTTTCCTAGGTATTGTTACAAGATGTCCTCTCGTGCTGAGGCTGAAAAAACTTGGGAATGAAGGCGAGTGGAAAGGCAAAGTCAGCTTCCTGGACAAAGAGATTGAGATTTCAGATGCTTCACGGGTGGAAAAGGAAATCAGTGACGGTAAGTGTCCCATGTTTGTTCTTCATTGCCTTTTGAATATCTGGTCAACCAGGTGAAATAGATGGGGTCTGCCTGTCTCTGTTCCCACTATCTCCTTTCTAGGCCTGTTCTGATCCCTCAAGAACCTTCCCTTCCCTCCATCAGGCCCCCAGCTCTCTTGTATTTTCTCTTTTTTTACTCTCATTAAGACCAGTGCTTTGGACAGAATCTGACCTCAGTAATTTATTACTTAGTATGTAAGTATGTATCTGAGCATAATGTGAATTTTGAAGCTTGTCTTCAAATATGGAGTATTTGTCCTTTATTCAAAGGCCTCCCCACTCCACAGATCTGATGTCAGGGTGTGGAGCCAGGGAACACCTTCACCTGTTAACCAGCTTTCCAAAATTCTGACTGGAACATCACTGAATCCTGTTCATAACTGGAAGTCTTTTTCTTCCAAGAGTGGGATTCATGTGCTTGAATAATCCCAGCCTAGAACAATAGATGGCAGGTCTCAGTAAATGCACAGCACAGAGATTACTGTATCAATTTGAAACATCTGAAAAGAAAAAATTAACGCTTGATGTAGATAGGGACAAAGTAGTGATACAATTAGTTGCTGCTGAGTGTGAGATGAGTAAGCAATTTTCCATTATTGACTTTAATTTCTTCCTAGTGTGTCACATAATTAAGTTCTAATCATTTGGGGAAGATACAAAAATGGTATGAACTGATATCCAGCAGTAGGAAAGAATGGATTTGACTCTATGAAAGTGGAAGCACTACCTACCATTTATTGGCTGTTGTGCAAAAATTAAATAATGTTATGAAGATGTTATTGTGTGTTTGTTGGGATTAGGTTGCCTGCAGAAAATGCAAAATTAGCATATATCTGTTGGTCCTTGGCATGTAACAAAATAATCTCAAAACCTAATGGCTTGGAACAGTTTATTTCCTGTGATTCAAAGGATCAGCTGGGCAATTCTTTTCCTCTAGGATGATTTCGCTGGGGCCAACAGTCTAGGATGACCTCAGGTACCAACCCAATCCTCGACTGGAATGACCAGACCTTCCCATGGTCTGACAGTGGCCTGTCCCTCAAAGGTGACTGGGTTGGGTTTTTTAACATGGTGGTAGAATGTTTCCAAGTACCAAGAGACCTGAGTACAAAGCTCTGATGTGTAAGCACCTTTCAGTGTCTACTGGAATACATTTTGTAACATCCTGTTACCCAAAGAAATTAATGCACTCAAGTCCAATTTCAAGAAGCAAACTCTTTTGATGGGAGAAGTGGCATTTTTTCTATAAAGCAGCATCCATATGGAGATGGGAAGGCATACAGAAGGCATTTGTGCAAGCAAGTTACTAACACAGTGGTTTAAACAACATCAGTTTTATTTCCCTCAGAGCTGATGTAAGGGTTCCAAGGGTATGAACCCAGACTTCTGTCTCATTCCTACACCCTGTGTGGCCTCTGTTCCCAAGGCCCCTTCGTCATTTAGTCAAGTGTCCATTCCTGCCAGCTAGTCATTGGCAAATGGCCTATCCCTGTCTTAAGCATATTTTCTGGAAGTTACACATAGCATCTTCACATCTATCCCAGGGGCCAGACAATTTTACATAACCGCATCTCTGGGAAATGGATTTGGAGGTGGGGGGAGTGCAGAATTAGCAGATTGTGGTACATATACCATTGTTACTATTATTTCCTTCTACATTCTTGAGTTATATAAAGCATACCAAAAAGACGTTCTGGATGTACAAAGTGGTCAAGTGGTATTAGCTAAAAATTTGATGCAATAAATTCTTATCTTGAAATTTTCATTATTAAGGAGAAGGAACAGAATTAAATCTTAGTGGAATATCAACAACTAATGCTCAGCTTGCCCAAAACAAGCACGAACCACTACCCATAACTTTCCAGGTCATGTTTTAGGAGTCACCATTTATTTTTATTTGTTTTCATTTTACCTCTTTGTTAAGTTCCTAGTATATCAATGGGAGGAATTTAGGTGTGGCACCAGGAAGAACTTACATGCTCTGCCAGGTTAAAACTGGTTCAGATGGGTGTCACCTACAGAGGTGTTCTCGCTAGTTCTCTCTGTAGACTATTCTGGCCACTGGCAATGCACATATGGGATTATCCTTTGATGTCCCTTTTTGTTTCAGAGAAATGAATCTGCTCCAAATATGCCTTACCCTTGAATCACAGCAGGTGGATGTTGCCTTCAGAGGCTTCACTGTAATGAGATATTCTACCCCAAGCTCTATTCCGTTTTTCTTTTTCCTCTTCTCTAGCCCAGATTGCCATCGCTGGGGAAGGCATGGGGATCAGTCATGAGCTGATTAGTCTGGAGGTCAGCTCCCCTCATGTCCCAGATCTGACCCTGATAGACCTTCCTGGCATCACCAGGGTTGCTGTGGGCAACCAGCCGCTCGACATTGAATATCAGGTGAAACTTCAGGCTCCATCCTGGCCTAGGTCTTGTGGGAGAGGGGCTGCATTAGAGCATCAGTGAGTCCAGGACCAAGCTTGAGGAGTGGGTATGGGGAGGTGGGGAATTTGGAGCATGCATTGGTTGAAATTACTCCACCAAGTTGGATGGGAAGAGGCAAAGTTGGGAAAGCATTTTATTTGTGTTTTATGTAGTGACTCATTTTTGGTTATAGTTAGTTACACTCTGTGCCATATCTAAATTGGCATGCATTAGGAAAGAGTTTTATGTGGGAAGAGAGAGTATTAGGAGCAAATATAATGATATTCCTGTATCAGTGAATCTCACCCTGTGGATTAAAGATTTAGGGAATAGTCAAGCAATTCTTTTGGCATCTTGTTTTTCATTGTGACCTTCAGCTTTGAGGTCTTGGGAGATGATTCACGAGTTAAAACCTCACAGTGTTCCCTCAGAAAATGTAGTTTTTCTGACTTGTGTTGTCAGCTCATTTCTCTGTGTTTGTTTCTTGGAAGGCCTGAAGCAAGTACAAGGTCAGGACCTGTCTCAACTCTCATACCCTTTCTTTTTCTTACAGATCAAGTCTCTCATCAGGAAGTATATCCTTAGGCAGGAGACCATCAACTTGGTGGTTGTCCCTGCTAACGTGGACATCGCCACCACAGAGGCGCTGCGCATGGCTCAGGAGGTGGACCCCCAGGGAGATAGGACCATAGGTAAGAAGAGTGAAATTGTTAGTCACTCAGTCATGTCTGACTTTTTGTGGCCCCGTGGACTGTAGCTCTCCTAGCTCCTATGTCCTTGGGATTTCCCAGGCAAGAATACTGGAGTGGATTGCCATTCCCTTCTCCAGAGGATCTTCCTGACCCAGGGATTGAACCCGTGTGTCCTGAATCTCCTGCATTGCAGGCAGATTCTTTACTGTCTGAGCTACCAGGGAAGAATCTGAAAGTGGCAGGTGGCTTGACAGTGGAAGAGCATCCTTTAAATCCAGTGGGTGTTTCTTGGCACACCTGAGTGGGGGCCGACACCCAGCGGATGAGAACCATTCAAGAACCATTGAGGCCAGATGACTCTTGGGCCACAACTGAGTCTTGTTGGCCATGGGTTGACCCGTAATCCTTGTCTATCTGCTTATAAGAGGTGTGGTGGATTCTGGGTCAGGGCAAAATCAGAAAACAGTTATATCAGTTGACAATGCATTTTATGTAGCAAAACCCACGTGTCCCTGAAAGATGAGGGGAGACACAGGATGTGAGGTATCCATACAATGGGATAGTTCTGTGCTGTGCTTAGCCGCTCAGTCATGTCCAACTCTTTGCGATCCCATGGGCTATAGCCCGCCAGGCTCCTCTGTCCATGGGGATTCTCCAGGCAAGAATACTGGAGTGTGTTGTCATGCCCTCCTCCAGGGGAATCTTCCCAACCCAGGTCGAACCCAGGTATCCCATATTGCAGGCAGATTCTTTACTCCTGAGCCACCGGGGAATCCCAATAATACTGCAGTGGGTAACCTATCCCTTTGCCAGGTGATCTTCCCAACCCAGGACTCAAACCAGAGTCTCCTGCATTGCAGGCAGATTCTTTACCAGCTGAGCTACCAGGGAAGCCCACAGTGGGATAGTATCCAACCTTAAAAGGGAGGGACATTCTGACACCTTGAAGACATTGTGCTCAATGGCATAAACCAGTGCCAAAGGTCAAATACTGCATGATCTCATTCATATGAGGGATCTAGTGTGGCCAGGTTCATAGACAGGAAGTCAAGTGGGGGAAGGGAGAAATAAGAGTTAGTGTTTGGCGGTTACAGAGTCTCAGCTGGGGAAGATGAAAAGGTTTTGAAGATGAACAGTGGTCAAGGTTGCCCAACCACATGAAAGTGTTTCACGCACCTGAAATGTGCATGTGAAAAGAGTTAAAATGTTATGTTTGAAAAAATGCATTTGGCTGTAAATAGCAGAGAGCTGGAGGACAGTGGCTGAAACAAACAGCAATTTATTTTCACACCTAACAAGAAGTCTGGGCAGAGGCTGCTCACCTGTGTACCAGTGATGCTGTCAGTCCCTTCCACGTTCTGCTCCACCATCCCTAGCTGCAGGTTCTCATTCTTTGCTTCTTCTGCTGCCCATCCTGCCTGGGATGAGACTCTCTCAGCCAGGGCTGCAGCTACAAGTGGGCACAGTACACCTCAGAGTTAATCCTGAGCTGGACAACCGCACGGCGCCTCACATGCAGATGGGTCCTTGCTTGGCGCAATGTTCTGATGCTGCCATCTTGCAATACTTGTTTAAACAGGCGTTTGCATTTTCATTTTGCAGTGGGTCCTGCAAATGACCTAGCTGATCCTGGTCAGACCCTTATTTTCCCAAGTGTGAGCCAGGCTCCACCTGCACCAATATTAACTGAAGAATTTTTAGAAATGCAAGTCCCTTGATCCTGCCGAATCTCCTAAATCAGAATCTCTGGAGCAGGGCCTTAAGGTGGCTCAGATGCACAGGGAAGTTTGAGACCCACTACATGAGTGAACCCCTCTGCTGGTCAGGAGGAGCATAACGGGCCATTACACGCTGCTATCTCTCTGGCGTGAGAGCCAAGATCTGGGCGCAGTGCACTTAAGAAGCACATAGGGGTTGAGCCTCGCACCTTCACTAGGCAAGCTGCATTGTCTGCCCCAAGCAGCATGGGAACAAGCCCAGGGCCAGGGCACCTCGATCCCCAGGAGGGGAGCTGACCTTACTCCTCACCCTGACAGAGTCTCTGGGTCGCAGGAATCTTGACAAAGCCTGATCTGGTGGACAAAGGCACAGAAGACAAGGTCGTGGACGTGGTGAGAAACCTGGTCTTCCACCTAAAGAAGGGCTACATGATCGTCAAGTGCCGTGGCCAGCAGGACATCCAGAATCGACTGAGCCTGGCCAAGGCCCTGCAGAGAGAGCAGGCATTCTTCGAGGATCACACACATTTCAGGTATGTGCATGGAGCTTTCTCAGGGAGAACCAAAGTTAAGGACCTCCTTCCTCACGGGAGAAATGCATGCTGTCCAAGGTCGGCTGTTGAGAGTATTCGTGCGTGTCTGTTCCTTTACTATGACCGTGGGGAATCTGCCTGGAAGAGTGAAGGAGGAATTCACAAAGTAGGCAAAGAGTAAATCTAAAACTTCAGAGGAAGGCGGAGACTTTTTGCAATAACTTATTATAGTTCTGGAAACAGAATATAAATGTATCACAGGATGGAAACAGTGGAAAACCCAGAAATAGAGTCAAATATATACATTTGGCCTGTGATCAATGTGGCACTTCAAATTTCTGGGCTTTGTCAGTTTCATTATCAATCAGTGGGACTGAGATAATCATTTCATAGTTGGGGAAAATTAAATTTGTCCTTACTTAACATGGGACACCAAAACAAATATCAGTGGAAGTTTAAAATTAAGTACAAAGAAAGTACCACTTCTCAGAAGTAAATATAGGTGGAGAATTAATAATCCCAGGATAAAGGCCTTTCTAACCCTGATGCCAAAATGAAATTTTTTTAAAAAATGATGAAAACTGATAAATTGGTTATTTTGAAATAATGAGAAGGCGTAGAGTTGGTGGGAAGGAGGGGTGTGGGCTTGCATCTGTGCTGCCTATAGTGTGTGCTGAGATCACCCAGGTGCCCCTAAGGTTGAGTTCCATTTCTAGGAATTCCACACAGGCAAGTAATCAGAGATGTGTTCAGTAATGTCCCCTAAAGCGTGCTCAGCACAGATTTGTTTTTAATTGTGAAGACTATGGGATGTACATGTTGAAAATCATGGGATTTGTATGGACGAACTAGAATGAGAGATCACAGTGCTGGCAACCGTTATAGTGCTGTGCCAAGGAGATGCCAATAAAAAGGTTCTTATAAGATGTTGAGAAAAAAGTGACACATTCACTGAGATCCCTTGTGTGTGCACATGTGTATGTAGGAGAAGACGTGTGCCCTTTGTAAACATTATCGTATTTGATGTTCCCAGAAGCCTGCAGAGACGCATAATTCAGAAGAGATACTTGCAGTCCTGTGTTCATAGCAGCATTATTCACAATAGCTAAAAAAAAAACATGGAAGCAACCTGAGTGACCACTGATAGATAAACACAATGTTTATCCAAAATGGGTAAAAAAAATTCCATCCACACAATGGAATAGTATTTGGCCTTAGAAAGGAAGAAAATTCTAGCACCTGCTATAACACGGCTGTACCTTGAGGGCACTATGCTTAGTGAAATCAGCCAGTCATGAAAAGACACTGTATGATTCCTTTTATATAAGATCCCTAAAGGGGTCAAATTCATAGAGACAGGACCTGGGGAAGGGGATGGGGAGATGTTTAATGGGAACAGAATTTCAGGTGGGGAAGAGGAGCTGTTTCTGGAGGGAGATGGTGGTGATGGTCACACATCAATGTCCCTGTAGTTAATACCACTGAATATGTGCTTACAGGCTTTCCAAGCAGCACTCATGGTAAAGAACTCACCTGCCAATGCAGGAGATGCAGGTTTGATCCCTGGGTCAGGAAGATCCCCTGGAGGAGGGCCTGGCAACCCTCTCTAGTATTCCCGTCTGGTGAATCCCATGGACAGAGGAGCCTGGTTGGGCTACCTTCCATGGGGTCGCAAAGAGTCAGATATAACTGAAGTGACTTAGCTCACACATGTGTGCTTACAAATTATTAAAGTGGTGAATTTTATGTTATGCATATTTTCCCACAATTAAAAAATTCGACAGGTACAGAAGCTGAAACTAAGGTATGAGTGTACTCTTGCAACGATGTGTGTGAACTCATGTTTCCTGGCTGCCCTTCATCCTAAAAAGTCTTTTAAAATGTGGAAAACTGTGTAGTAACTCACTCTACAAACACATATTTGGAAAGAGTGAGAGGAAGGCTTGGTCTCCTTCCCCAAGCAGCTCATGGTTGAAGTTCTCATTTTGGAGAAGGGTGGGTCCCCCGGTTCAGGCTTCATCCATGCACCTGTGTAAATATCTGTCAATATATTTTCATGAAGCCCAATACCAATATGCACTGTGTATACAGAAGGGCATATGCATGTTATGGAAACATATCTCTAGGTGATATGTGAATTTTTATAAAGACCATTTATAGTCAGATGTCATAAGACACATTTAATATATCAGCTGGAAGGGATCATTCTATACAGTTTTTTCAAAACATGCAGCATTACAAAAATTCAATCATAATTCTGTGTGATCCAATTGCAGGACATGTCATCCAGTGGGAAGTAACTGTACTTACTTTGGCTTTCCCCAGCAACTGAGAGCCAACCTGCATTTTCTGGCTAGACCCAGGTGGACATGAATGTTGTCTTCTCTTTGCAGGGAACTTCTGGAGGAAGGGAGGGCCACTGTCCCCTGCCTGGCAGAAAGACTGACCAATGAACTCATCATGCACATTTGTGTAAGTGCACGCAGAGCTGAACAGACTCTGAACAGAGTCTTGCAAGCGCAAAGCTAAACCATGTCGACACACATGGATCTCCTGGACATCTTGTTAAGATGTGGGCTCAGATTCAGGGGTGTGGATGTGGCCTGGGATGCTCCCAGGGGGTGTGGCTCTTGCTTGTCAGAAGACCACATGTTGAGTGGGACACTGATAAACTACCCACCCAGCCTAATTTAAAATGAGCTTCTTGCAAGCACTGGCCTAACCCTAGTCCTTCCCCATCAACAATTGCAGCTCATTCTCTCTTCATGTTTATGTCTTTCTGTTGTTTTCCTCAGAAAACTCTGCCCCTGTTGGAAAATCAAATAAAGGAGACTCACCAGAGAATAACAGAAGAGTTACAGAAATATGGCAAGGACATCCCAGAAGAAGAAAGTGAGAAAATGTTCTCCCTGATAGAGGTGAGAACCGCCAGCAGCGCCACGCTGGGGAGTCGTGCATCATTGTCCACAGGGATTATGGGCGCCACGCTCATCCGTCTTCACTTCCCTAAAGCTGATCCGAACTCATTCTGTCCACTTAGCACCAAAATGGGCCCAGAGTTAGAGGACAGAGAGCAGGGAGTGGTGGACTACCCCATGCGTGCTATTGGCTCTTCCTCAAGTGCGTTCCCTCACTGGGGACCCCCCAGGCAGTGAGGGGAATTTGGGGTTGTCTGCTGCCCAAGCTTCTTCTCTCCTGTCCTCCCACCTGGCCTGAGATACAGCAAAGAGGGACTCACCCACTCTCTGCATGCACACAACTGCCAAACTACCTTGCTCTGTTTAGAGTTATCTCTGCTGATTCTTTTTTTCTTCTTGGCAGAAAATTGATACATTTAATAAAGATATCATCTCAAGAATAGAAGGGGAGGAATTTGTGGGGCCGCTTGAGTCCCGACTATTTACCCAAGTACGAGCCGAGTTCTGCAAATGGAGTTCTGTGGTTGAGAAAAATTTCCAAGAAGGTGAGCCTGAGGCACCACGGTAAACACGTCAAGTTGAGCTGAATCCAAGGCTGGGGGAGGTGGGTGATGACGGTGGTCAAGGACAGTCAGAGTAAGGACTTGGTAGTGTGAAAACCACATGTGCTGTTTCAAGTCCCTGAACTCTGGCCAGCAGGCGTCAGGTACAGATTTCAGAGGACACCTAGAGAGAAGATGCGGATTCAATGGCCCATGTCAATCATGACTCTTGGAAGAATCAGTTTTCCCCCAATGGTGAGCAGGTGAGCCTGCCATGTGTATCATGCCCTTTGTGTTTCCGATGGTGCTGCCCCTGAAATAACCCAGGTTCCATCTTGGTTAATCCACTGAGGCCTTGAAACCTGATGTGTCCTGTAATGGATCTTATAGTCACTGTTTAGTCGCTCAGTCATCCGACTCTTTGCAACCCCATGGACTATAACCTGCCAGGCTCTTCTGTCCATGGGATTTCCCAGGCAAGACTAATGGAATGGGTTGCCATTTCCTCCTCCAGGGGAACCTCCCAACCCAGGGATCAAACCCTTGTCTCCAGGTTGGCAGGTGGATTCTTTACCACTGTGCTACCTGGGAAGCCCTTGCAGTTGCAGTGGTGAAGAAAAAATGCAACAGCATCTTGGGTACCACCTTGCATCATCAAATCCTCAAGAGTCTAAGAAAAGTAGAAAATGTGATCTGAAACTTATTTTTTTTTTTACTGTTTTAAGAAGCCTAAACTAAATCATATATTGACCAATGAGAAAACTGCAGCAGCTGAGGGAAATTTCAATTTGCTTTTATTCCAACAATCTGATGGTGGTGGGGGGTGGTGGTGGTTTCATGATTTATTTAAACTGAGCAGCAGTTCAGACTGACGGTCCTCCTTGGCTTTGAGTAATGAACATGGGGAGAGAAATCAAGGGAGTTTCTGCATAATTCAGAGGCTGCACCTTTATTCCCTGGCAGAGGGCACAGAGGGTAGTGTAGGGTGTGAACTTTGGGGACCACAGTCCAGGACACTCATTCCTGGGCAGGTCACTTGGCACGTGTCCACAGTCTTTGTTCCACATATTGCTATTGCTCAGCTGCTTGGTCATGTCCGATGCTCTGCAACCCTGTGGACTGCAATACACGAGGCTCCTCTGTCCTTCACGATCTCCCAGAGTTTGCACAAACTCATGTCCATTGAGTCTGTGATGCCATCCAACCACCTCGTCCTCTGCCTCCCCCTTGTGCTGCTTAGAGAAGCTGAGTCTGTGAGGAGAGAGTTGTATACCGGCTGTGCAATATGTTCTTATGTCGGGGAGGGGGAACACCCTGCTAACCCCTTTCAAAGAAAACAACAGTCTTTGGCTTCCAGAAGCTCCCTAGTGGCGTTGCCTGGCCAGGTTTTTAATGGCAAAAGGGCTTATGGCAGACAGCCTGTGAGAAAAATGGCTCATTCTTTAAAATGATAAATTCCTCCCAACAAATGATCAGTTCCATATCACTGGGTGCCCAAATGTAAGAATTAATTTGGACCCCCTCATGCACCTCCTATCCAAAAATAAACTCAAAACGGATCAAAAACCAAAGTGTACAAGCCAAACCTGTAAAACTCTTTGTGACCTTGGGATTAGGTAGTGGTCTGTTTAGCTAGAATACCTGAAGCAGAAGCAATACATGGAAAAAAATGATATGTTGGATTTCATCAAAATTTAAAACTTGTGTGCATATCAAAGAACACTATCCAGGAACATGATCAAGAAAGTGGAAAGACATTCCAAAGAATTGGAGAAAGTGTTTGAAAATCATGTATATGATAAGGGTGTAGTCTTTATAGGACTTCACTTCCCAGGTGGTACTAGTGGTAAAGAACCTGCCTGGCAATGCAAAAGACCTAAGAGTCGTGGGTTTGATCCCTGGGTCAGGAAGATCCCCTGGAGAAGGAAATGGCAACCCACTTCAGTATTCTTGCCTGGAAAATCCCCTGGACAGAGGAGCCTGGTGGGCTACATTCCATAGAGTCACAAAGAGCTGGACACAGCTAATGCGACTTAGTTCTCACTCACTAGTATCTATAGTGACCTCTTACAGCTCAGCAACAAAAAGAGAAATAATTCAGTTTAAAGATGGACAAAGGATTGGAATAGACATTCCTCAAAAAAAAAAAAAGAAAAACGATACAGGTATGGCTAATAAGATTGTCTTCCCAGTGGCTCAGTGGTAAAGAATCCACCTTCCAATGCAGGAGACATGAGTTTCCTCCCTGGGTTGGGAAGATCCCATGTCAGAGGAAATGGGAACCCACTCCAGTATTCTTGCCTGGGAAATCCCATGGACAGAGGAGCCTCTGGGGCTACAGTCCATGGGGTGGCAAAGAGTCAGACACAGCTGAGCACGCACACACACATGGCTAATAAACATGTGACAAGATGTGCAATATTGTTAGCCATCTGAAATGCAAGTTAAATCCACAATGAGATCCCATCTCACACGTACTAGAGAGGCCTTTATGCTAAGTGGAAGAAGTGAGGCACAAAAGGCCACAGGATGTACAATTCCATTTACAGGAAATGTACAAAACATACAAAGCCATAGAAATAAAAAGTGGATTAGTGGTTTCAAAGGCTGGGAAGAGGGAATGGGGAGTGAGTGCTGATGGAAACAGGGTTCCCTGGGGTGGTGGAAATGCTTGAGAATTAGATAGTGGTGATGTTTGCACCACTTTGTGAATATACTAAACATATACTTTAATAATGGTGAATTTGTGGTATGTCAATTACATCTTAATTTTTTAAAATACCTTTGAGAAAGTATCTCCTGACCAAAAGAGGGTAACCAGGCTACCATCCCTGGTTAGTTCTTCAAAAAGAAGGAACCTTAGTCCTTCTGAATCATCCTCCCCTCCCCACCCCATGCAGGAGGTTCTTTACACCCTAGTTTGTTTAGAGTAAAAGGAATTCCAAGAATATAGAGAAAAAATTAAGTGCTTTATGTGGTAAGCAGTGATACCATATCACATTAATAATCCAACTGTATTATCCCTCTGGTTTATAAGTAGGTTTTACTCCTGCTGCAACCTGGGAATATGTGCTGAGTCACTGATTCCAGCTGGCGTTATGGTCATTTCTTTATTTATTTTTTTTTTTAGTGGGTCCACCTCGAGTGGCATGTGGGATCCTGGTTCCCCAGCCAGGGATCAAACCCTCGCCCCCTGCACTGTGCCCACAGAGTCCTAACCACTGGACCATCAGGAAAGTCCCCATTTCTATTTTTTAAAGTGTCTGCAGGTCACAGTATTCTATGATACAGTTTTCTTTACAAAATCAAATTTAATTTACCAAATTTCCTACTCAACTTACCTTTTCCAGAATGTCTTGGGACTTCCCCAGTGGTCCAGTGGTTAAGACTCCACCTTCCAATGCAGGGGGCCCTGGTTCAATTCCTGATCAAGGAACTAAGATCCCATATGCTGTGGGGTGAAGCCAAAATTTTTTAAAATTCTGTCTTAGTAAGTTTCTGCATTTGCTATTTTTCGATGTCCTTCTCTGGCTTACACGTGCCATCTTGAGATGACTAAGGACAGTTCTCTCAAAATCTGTTTCTTTATTGCAATCCTTGAATCTTTTTCAATTTGAAAATCAGATTTGATTTTTTTTTTCTTGCTCCTCTGTATTTTCAGGAAGTTCAGTATGCTACTGTGTTCGGCCAAACCAGCAAAGTTATTTCTGCAAAATAATTCAGACCTATCCTTTCCTTCTGTAGGTTATAAAGACATACTTAAAGAAATCAGGCAATTTGAAAATCGGTATCGTGGCAGAGAGTTGCCAGGGTTTGTGAATTACAAGACGTTTGAGATCATCATAAAAAAGCAGGTCAAAACCCTGGAAGAGCCGGCTGTGGACATGCTGCACACAGTGACAGGTGGGTTCTTGGTTTTACTTTAGGCATTTTATCAATATTTCCTGCTGGGGTGTTTTCCAACACAAGCAACCCAATCAGTCTTCTCCAGACTTCAACTGAGTGTCCAACAATTCATTCCCCTTCTGACACTAACTGCCTGGAGTTCGCAGACCCACAGCTCAGGGCTCAGCTCATAAGACCCACCTCTGTGGATGGCAGCTCCGTGTCTGAGACGCCTGTACTGATGAGTGACCAGCTACAAATCACAGTTCCCACCGCCCAGTCCTGGGGTTCCATACTCAGCTGGAACAGCTCACAGAACTCAGGAGCACACTCTACTTCACTGGTTTGCTATAAAGGATTTGCTTACCTTTACGAGTTTATTAGTGGGGCTTCCCAGATTGCTCAGTGGTAAGGAATCTGCCTGCCAATGCAGGAGCCGCAAAAGACACGGGGCTTCCATCCCAGGGTCGGGAAGATCCCCTGGAGAAGGGAATGGCAACCCACTCCAGTATTCTGGCCTGGAGAATCCCATGGGCAGAGGAGCCTGATGGTACAGTCCATGGGGTCACAAAGAATGGGACAGCACTGAGTGAGCACACACACACACACACACCAATTTACTGGTGTTAGATATGAAAGATTGCAAGGTTGCAATGAAAGTTTGCAATGAAAGGTTGCAAATGAAAGATATGCATAGGGTGTGATGTGCTTCTGTCACACGTGCTTCTGTCGGAGGAGTGGTGAGGGCGGGACCACCCTTTTGGCATGTGGTCATGTTCACCAGCCTGGCTATCTTTGAGCCTGGTCATTAAAGGTTTTTATGAAGGTATAATCAATTATCCAGCTTCCCTGGCTCAGATGGTAAAGAGTCTGCTTGCAATGAGGGAAACCTGGGTTCGATCCCAGCATCGGGAAGATCCCCTTGGGAAGGGAATGGCAACCCACTCCAGTATTCCTGCCTGAAGAATTCCATGGACAGAGGAGCCTGGAAGGCTACAGTCCGTGGGGTCACAAAGAGTCGGACATGACTGAGCTATTAACACACACACCCACACCCACACACACACAATCAATTATCCCATGGAAGCATAATCAATTTTTAATTCAATCTCCAGCCCCTCCCCTAGCCCCCAGAAGTTGGGAAGGGGGAAACTGGGTTGGAAGTTCCAGGCTTCTAATCAAAGGCTTGGTCTTTCTGATGACCAGCCCCATCGTGAAGCTGTCTAGGGCCACCTCGTTAGGACAAGTGATGCTCCTGTCACCCAGGATATTCTAAGGGGTTCAAGAGCTCTGTGTTAAGAACCAGGGACAAGAACCAGATGTATGTTTCTTATCATACCTCACCTCCCTCTACTCCACCACTTTGCATACTTCACAATCTCAAAGCACCATTGTTTATTCGAAATCTCTGAGGAGTAAGGTTGACTAAACAGCTGTACATTATGGGAGTGGGCTGATCCTCTAAAGTGCGGCATGAACCTGAGATGGTGGCAGTGTGGTCACTTGCCAATCAGAAGCCACGTCGGCTCTGTGGAGGAGAAGCACAGTCCCTCACAGTACTCACCACCCGCTTCTCCTCGAGAATCTTCACTCCCTGGTCTCCTATTTACTGCTCTGAGCTTCCTGAATCCCTTCTCTGTCATCTCCTTGGCCAACACCCTCCTCACTCAGGCTTCAACGGTCTCATTTTAGCATCAAGTCATCATCTTGAGGATCTGTGGACTCGTAGGGCTGAAGGAAGGACAGCCTTTTCACAGTTGATGAGACATGTGTTTCTTTTTTTTTTTCCACTTTGACCTTGTATTTATTTTTGGCCGCACGGGGTCTCCCTCCTTGCTGTGCACGGTCTTTCTCCAGGTGCGGCAAGTGGGGCCTGCTCTCCAGTCGCCGTGAACGGGCTTCTCGTTTCGGTGGCTTCCCTGTTGAGGGGCGCGGGCTCCAGGGCCTGTGGGCCTCAGTAGGTGCAGCAGGCGGGATCAATAGCTGCAGCTCGTGGGGCCCTAGTGGTTGTGGTGTACAGGTTTAATTTCTCCTCAGCTTGTGGGATCTCCCTGGACCAGGGATCAAACTTGCGTCCCCTGCATTGGCAGATGGACTCTTATCCACTGAGCTGGCTTCCCTGGTATTTCTAATTAAATTTTTTCTCCAGGCTTAATAACAACAAACTAAAGTCTATAATGGTGTCTTGTTGATCAACTGTGCATTCTTCATTCAGTCCCAAAGGAAATTCTTGTGTAATACTTCAAGGCTTTCTATTTATATACCTATTTCTGTTGAGAAAAGTATAATATATAGCCAAGACATTTCAAAGCATAGCAGCCAGTGGTTAGCACTGGTTCAGTGGTTAGGACTCTGTACTTCCACCACAGGGGCAAGTATTTAATTCCTGGTCAGTGAACTAAGATCCCATGTGCCTCACAGTGTGGCCAAAAATAAATTTCCCAGCATAAAGATACTGTACATCACACTAAGATAACATTCTGTGAGGAAGTCAAGTGGAAATATGAATTTCAAAATAAAATGAAATAATGTAAGTGTTCTGATTGAAACGAGAGTTTGTTCACCTATTTCTTTCAAGTGGATAATAGATTCCATTGATGTATTTTAAAAAGTGATGTGTTTTACTATAAATATTAAACTATTTATAACAACAGAAATTGCATTCTTTACAACTATTTATACTTGGTATGAAAATTTAAACATCAGATAAATATTTCAGGAGACATTTAGATTTTTAAAATTCCTCCAGGATGTTTTTGAGTAAGAAAGCACACCGTCTTCCTTCAGAAAGAAAGAGAAGATTGGGGGTGGGGAAGAGGGAGGCAGGGAATTGTTTCTGCTGTTCTATCTTATTTTTTGCAATTTATGAAGTCATGGGACCTTCCAACAAGACTGGACATCTCTGTCTTTCTTTCACCAGATATAATCCGGAATACCTTCACATATGTTTCAGGAAAACACTTTAGTGAATTTTTCAACCTCCACCGAACTGCCAAGGTAAAACTGACCATTAAGTTACTTAAAAAAAAAAAAAAATGTAGGCCTGACACTAGAAAACAGATTTCTTAGATTAAGACTATTCAACCTTTATTATGTATTTGGAGAAGCAAATAGTCAAGATCAGTAGTGAATTTAAGATATGAGCAGTGATGTCTCGTTAAAGGCAGTAAGAGGGAGAGAGAGAGAGAAAGAAATTCAGAAGGAAAATATTTAGTCTCAGGAACAGAGGAGAGCCATAGTAAGTGTGGAACCCTGTTACAGCTGAAGAGAATGTCCTGAGTCTGGAAACTCATTGAGGAAACCAAATAGGAAAGACTCATCTGATCTAGGAACAGGGGCTCCCCCTTGTCCTGGCTTGGGCTGCATAGTTAATACCACTGCAGACACGTAATATTTTATTTCTCATAGTCCAGGAGACAGATGGAGGTGCTGATGGCCTTCTCATTAGTGTCTTCACGAAACAGGAGGCTGGGGGCAGGGGTAGAAAGAGAGCTCCCTGGGGTCTCTTCGCAGAGGGTCACTAACCCCTTTGTGGGGGCCCTACCCTCATGACCTAATTACCTCCCAAAGACCCCCAACCTCCAAATGCCATCCTGTTGAGGATTAGGGTTTCAGTGTAGGAATCTGGCAGGGACGCCAACCTTAGTCCCAGCACCCAGCAGAGAGTTCTGCTGGTAGAAAAATATTCCTCTTCCTCAGATGGAAAAGTATATAAAAGGGAAAAGGAATAAAGCTGGAAATCAGGCCTGAGAACAGAGCCCATGAAGGTTCCCAGGCCCTGGGGATGCAAGGTCTGGTCATCTGTGTGGCTCAGGCTTCCTGGGAAATTCTGACCCTCGGCCCAGAATGGAAAGCCCCACTCCCTGCCCAGAGAAGCTATTGTGGGGACAGAAGGCTGCTTCAAAGCCACCAGCTCTTCTAGATGGCACCTGCTAGAGGTGGCCTTTGCAGTGGAGCTGTCTTCCTGTGACCCAGTGATTTGTTTCTCGATGGAAATTCTGTTGTGTTTCTCTTTTGCTATAGTCCAAAATTGAAGACATTCGATTAGAACAGGAAGAAGAAGCTGAGAAGTCCATCCGACTACATTTCCAAATGGAGCAGTTGGTCTACTGCCAGGACCAGGTGTACCGGCGTGCATTGCAACAGGTCAGAGAGAAGGAGGCAGAAGAAGAAAAGAGGCAAAAATCAAACCATTCTCAACAGTCCCAGCCCTCAGAGCCCTCCGCAGCTGAGATCTTCCAACACCTGACCGCGTACCACCAGGTGAGTCTGCTAGTCTCGGGACAGTGCTTCTCATCCATTCTTTTTCTCTGAGAATGAAAAGCCTGTCTCTTCAGTCTTGTCTCTGTAAGGGGACCACCAGCCCCATCTTTCAGCCCTTGGTAAGCCTCTGTAGGAGCAATTCGATCAGACATGAGAAGGGTTGTTACTTAGAGCCGCTTGCATCTGGTTTGGGCTGACTGTGTGGCCTCCGTCAAGTTATTTAACCTCTCTGAGCCTTAGCCTCTCCAAAAGGAGGTAAAGTGATTACCTCCTCCCAGTGTTCTTGTGAATATTCAGCAGGAGGAGTGTGGACGGCAGTGACCACTGGCCCCGGAGAAGCTGCCACTCACAGAGACTTGTACTTTGATTGCTACCCTACATTTTGGGTTTCCCAGGTGACACTAGTGGTAAAGAACCTGCCTGCCATTGCAGGAGATGTAAGAGACATGGGTTCAATGCCTGGGTCAGGAAGATATCCTGGAGGAGGACATGGCAGCCTATTCTAGTATTCTTTCCTGGAGAATCCCATGGACAGGGGAGCCTGGCAGGCTATAGTTCATAGGGTTTCACAAGAGTTGGACATGACTGAACAATGTAGCACATGCACTCTACATTTCAAATAACTTGAGGGTCCATCTAATTCCTCTAGAGAAGGATGTGCAGCTTAGAGCCTGGGGGTATGTGAAAGTCTGGACAGGGAAACAAATGGCAACCTCCTGGTTTATCAGATGTCTCCATCACTTCAGGCAGTTTCTCACACCAACCATGCTCACACATCTCCAGGATCTTCCAGAGATGCAGATGTGGTGGTGGGGGGCAGGTCTGAGATGGGGCACAATTCTGCATTACTTCACAGGCTCCCAGAGGATGCCATGCTGCTGGATGGGGATACACTCTGAGCAACAAAGCTCAAACGGTCAGACTCTGCAGACCCTGGGATGTGCATGGGTGTGTGTGAAGCCAGTAAAGAGGGCAGCCCTGTGCCTCCTTGGTTTCTCCTGCAGCCAAGCTCACCCCCAAGTGCTGCCTGGCAGAACCTTTGAGACTGAGTAATACACACAGATACACAAATATTAAAGCCTTCACCTGCTTGGGTGAGGCCCACCCACATTCTTGAGGATGATCTCCTTTACTTACATAAAGTTGACTGAGTGGAGCTATTAACCACATCTACAAAATATCTCCACAGTGATAACTAGATGAGAGTTCCACTGAATAAATGGATCTACAACCCAGTCAAGCTGACACATGAAACTGACCATTATATCTGGGGAAAGCCTAGGGCTTGTTTTATATCGAGAAGTATAAACCAAGGAACTGGCTTATGCAATTATGGAGGCTGGCTCATCAAGTCCAAGGTGGGTAGGACAAGCCATGCAGAAAACCAGGCAGGTGCTGAATCTGCAGACCACACGCCAAAGTCCTTCCTCAGAAGAATTTCTACCTGCAGTGGAGGAGTTGACACCTTTGTGCCTTTAAAAAATTTCTTATCCAAGACCATCAGGAGACCCCTGATGTTCCTTCTTAAATATCCTTTTGGGGAGTCTCAAAAGTGTTTTAAAGTTCTCTTTGTGTAGGTGGTACACACACCTGGAGTTTATTCCTACTTCTTTTCTCATCTTTGTACCTCCTATCAATGAGACTTTTCTTCCATGACATCTTGTTTGTTGATTTCTGTATGTTGTCTTACATTTGTTAACCATGCTGATTCTCTTAAACTGTCTGTGGTGGTTTTACATCTGTTTCTCCTGAGTTTTCCCAACAAACACTCATCCCTCTGCAGAGAGTGGTGGTTTTACACTCTCCCTGCTCTTTCCAGTTTTTATACCTCAAACTTTTCTTGCCCCATCTGGTCCCTTCAGTGCTACTTGAAACCACAGTCGACCAGCAGACAGCCTTGCCCTGTCCCGACTAATGAGAACTCTCTACTTTTCCTATCAAGTATGATCCTCACTGACTAAAGTCAAGGTGTTAGCAGGGCTGGGTGCCTTCTCGAGGGTCTAGAGGGAGAATCTCTATCTTTGCCTAGTCCAGCAGAAACAAAGGAAAATAGTCAAGTAAAGCAAATTAATATCGGGTTGGCCAAAAAGTTCATTTGGGTGTCTGCCTTTTTTCATTTATCTGATTAAATTTATTCTTTGGATAAATTTTTTTGATAGACCAAAAGGGAGCAGAGGACATGGGTGAGGTGGGAAGGGGGTATTATCTCAGGAAGGACCCCCTCAGGATGAGGGAGAAAGGAAAGTTGAAGGTGACTTCCAGCATGCTTAGAACTCAGAGGGCTCCCTTCTGTGGCTTTTGAGAGCCCACATCCTTTCATGCTAAATAATTTCAGCCTTGATTTAAAAAAAAAAAAAGAGGTTATAGAATCTTCTAGGCAGAGTTGTAAATAATTTTAAAATGTAGGGTTTTTAAAATTTGTTTTTAATCGGAGGATAATTGCTTACAATGTCATGTTGATTTCTGCCATACAACAAGAATCATCTGTAAATACACATATGTCTCCTCCCTCTTGAACCTCCCTCCCATTCCCTCACCCCCATCCTACCCCTCCAGGTCGTCGCAGAGTATGGAGTTGAGCTCCATGTGTTATATAGCAACTCTCCATTAGCTATCTGTTTTACACATGGTGATGCATGTGTTTAAATGCTCCTCTCAGTTCGTCCCACCCACAGACTGTGTCCACAGGTCTGTTCTCTGTCGTTTTTGTGCTCCATGCATTTACCTTCTTAGGGCACGTTTTGCCCTCTTCCACCAGCAGTAACCATTTAGTGGTCAGGAGAGGCTGGTGGGAGCCCGGAGTCAAGGTTGATCCTTAGCCTGGTGCTGCCCAGACCACAGGATGCGCGCGGGTTTGAAACCCAAGCGGGGACTATGCACCCACGGGGTCTGGGTCCCTGCCGGGGTGCCGTGGTGAAGTCAGGGTCTCCTGGCTGCCCCGGCCCCTGACCCTCGTGTGAACTGCGCCTTCCTTCCTCGCAGGAGGTCAGCACGCGCATCTCCAGCCACATCCCCTTGATCATCCAGTTCTTCATGCTCCGGACGTATGGCGAGCAGCTCAAGAAGAACATGCTGCAGCTGCTCCAGAACAAGGACCAGTACGACTGGCTGCTGAGGGAGCGAACGGACACCCGAGACAAGAGGAAGTTCCTGAAGGAGCGGCTGGAGCGGCTGGCCCGCGCGCGGCAGCGGCTCGCCAAGTTCCCGGGCTGAGCCCGCCCTCCGCCCAGCCCCGGGTCTGCGGGTCAGCTCCCCCGACGGCCGCACGCCCTCAGCTGCCCGTTTCACGGGTGCCTCGGTGGTCAGCTTGTAGCCGCAGTCTCTGCTGTCTCTGAGTGGATACGCACACTGGCTTCAAGCTTCAGGTGATTTCCTTCGATGCCGCACCCCGCTGTCAGTTACTGATCCCCACACAGCACTGTAGACGGGTCGTTCCAATTTCTGTAATAGCCTTTGACACGCCATGTTTGAGGAGCCTGAGTGCCACATTTGTGAATGCATACCGAAGCCTCTTTCTTCGATTTGTAGTAAACTTCTTTCTACCAGACATTTCTCTGACACTTTCTTTTTTGGTGTTTATTTATTTTATTGTTAATTTGCTTGCACCGGGTCTTCATTGCTGCACCCCGGCTTTCTCTAAGTGTGGCGAGTGAGGACTGCTCTGTACCCTGCTGTAGCTGTGGCTTCCCATTGTGGCGGCTTCTCTTGCGGTGCACGGGCTTCAGGGCGCATGGGCTTCAGTAGTTGTGGTGCCTGGGCTTCATTGCTCCTAGGCATATGGGATCTTCCCAGATCAGGGATCAAACCTGTGTCTCCTGCATTGGCAGGTGGATTCTTATCCACTGTGACATCACAGAGCCTTCTCTGACACCTTCTTTATTTGGGTGACATTTGGTGGGAATCTGTGGAGCAATCAGTGGACGCTAAGGCTGCCCTCTGTACTGGGTCAGGTCAGAAGGAATGGTTGAGCCAAAGAACGTGGTGGGTTATTCATAAAAGGCTAGAAGGGAAGTACGGAATAAAGTTAAAGAAATGGGACAGAAGGTGAAGCAATCAGCATTTGTCGTTTATACTGTGTGCTGATCGAGCATCCAGGCTGCTTAATTGCTGGACGCCTGGTGGGGAGCTGAAAGGTGAAAGCCTAGGTTGAGAGAGGTCACTGCCCACCCGGGGGGTGGATTTTACAGCAGATGCTGTTCTAGTCTGGGAGGTGAGAAGGCGGAATGTTAACCACGTGTTGCCCAGGAGCACAGCAGAGTCCTGACCGGCCTCCCTGGACTAGGCAGCCATGGAGACATGCAGACACCCAGCCAGAAAGGGAGTGGCTGCCTCATGAGCTGTCCACTCACTCCCAGGCCAACGGCTGTCCACTCACTCCAATGGCTTGTTGGAAGAGGTAGACTAGCTGCACGTCCCCTCCCATCCAACCCCTGCCCCACCCCCACCCCTGGCCCCTTCTGACACTCAGGACACCACAATCCTCAAAGCCTGGGACAATGCGAGAATTTTTGTACAAGATGATGACTTTCTTGGGCTCCAAAATCACTGCAGATGGTGAGTGTAGTCATGAAATGAAAAGACACTTGCTTCTTGGAGGAAAAGCTATGACCAACTTAGACAGCATTTTAAAAAGCAGACATTACTTTGCTGACAAAGGTCCTTTTAGTCAAAGCTATGGTTTTTCCAGTAGTCATGTGTGGATGTGAGAGCTGGACCATAGAGAAGGCTGAGTCGAAGAACTGATACTTTTGAGCTGTGGTGTTGGAGAAGACTCTTGAAGAGTCCCTTGGACAGCAAGGAGATCAAACCAGTCAATCCTAAAGGAAGTCAGTCCTGAATATTCATTGGAAGGGTTGATGCTGAAGCTGAAACTCCAATACTTTGCTCACCTGATTCGAAGAGCCAACTCATTAGAAAAGACCCTGATGCTGGGAAAGATTGAAGGCAGGAGAAGAGGACGACAGAGGATGAGATGGTTGGATGGCATCACTGACTCAATGGACATGAGTTTGAGCAGACTCCAGGAGATGGTAGGGGACAGGGAGGCCTGGCGTGCTGCAGTCCCTGGGGTCGCAAAGAGATGGACACGACTGAGCGACCGAACAACAAATATATGTGATGCTCTGAGATTTGGAGCTGCTGCCCCCTCGTGGCTGGTTGAGTAACTGCTCCAGTATCAGGCGGCCCAGAACCCCAGGGCAGAATCTGCCTCGACCAGAAACAGAGGTGTCACAGTTGCCAAGGATTCTTCTTTGCTGATGTAGTTTTCCTAGAGATTCCTAGACAGATGGGGGAAGAAAGCCGACAGTATTTCAGAGAACAGGAACTTCCCTGGGGGGACAAGCCCACTGGGGACTCACAAGGTGCTCATTTTCCTTTCGTGAGGTGTGCAGGAATCCCTCAGATCTGTCCTGACTGGCCATCGATAGGGGAGAAGTACACTGTCTCCCCTCCTGTCTGTTGAGCAGAGGCAGCCCTGGAGTCCACTCTGCGTGAGTCCATCACTCAGAGGGCAGTGGGGCTCAGGCAACACCCATCTCCCCACCCCAGCCCCCCATCTCCATCTGTGAAGGGCAACACCAGGATCAGAGCTGCTGGCTCCACAGCACCGGCTTGAAGGTCCATCAACCTGGGCAGACTCAACTAGAAGAGCAATCATGCCTACTCAGGGACCCTCACTCCAGGCAAGTCTGGGGCTCAGTTGACCCCAAAGTATGGGGCTGAGTTTGGAGCAGAGCTAGGAGAGGAACTAGATAACATTGAAGTGACAACCAGGAAGCCTCTGTTTTCCAGAACACAGGGTCTGCTGGTGGTTAATAAATGCTGTGGGAGGGAGTGGGCATAAGAGATGCCAGGCACATGTCCAGATGACTTGCTGGTTGCTTGACTATCTTCTAAGATGCTATGCAGCACCTACCTTTATTACTTTCCTTCTTGGAGCAAAGAGCAAAGGCAAAAGCAGCCAGCCAGGAAAGTCCCCACAGTCAGTTACTATGTGGGAGGAAAGGAATCCAATCCAACTGGTAAACCAGGAAGTCTTAAAAGCAGCTAATGGGGCACTGATGTTGGCTTTCCAAGGTTCAGTGGATCCAAGTGATCAGTGGATTTTCAGGGGATTATGAGTCCAGGTTCTTTAATCACAGCAAAACGATGGCTCAAACACCAATATTTATGGGGTTAATTCATTTAAAATGAAATAGCTGGTATATTATGGGCTTTTGCAGGTGGCCCAGTGGTAAAGAATCTGCTTGCAATGCAGTAGATGTGGGTTTGATATCTGGGCAGAGAAGATCCCCCAGAGAAGGAAATGGCAGCCCACTTAAGTATTCTTGCCTGGAGAATCCCGTGGACAGAGGAGCCTGGTGGGTTGCAGTCTATGGGGTTGCAGAGAGTCAGAGAATGCAGGCACAGCTGGTACATTAGTGATTTTTCAAAACAAAGAATTGATGCTTTTGAACTGTGCTACTGGAGAAGACTCTTCAAAATCCCATGGAAAGCAAGGAGATCAAACCAGTCAATCCTAAAGGAAATCAGTCCTGAATACTCATTGGAAGGACTGATGCTGAAGCTGAAGCTCCAATACTCTGGCCATCTGATGCAAAGAACTGACTCATTGGAAAAGACCCTGATGCTGGGAAAGATTGAAGGCAGGAGAAGGGGACGACAGAGGATGAGATGGTTGGATGGCATCACCAACTCGATTTTCATGAGTTTGAGCAAGCTCCGGGAGTTGGTGATGGACAGGGAAGCCTGGTGTGCTGCAGTCCATGGGGTCATAAAGAGTTGGACATGACTGAGCGACTAAACTGAACTGAATTACTTTGGAAATAGCATAAATTGCACATTTTTCTTAAAACACTGGGCACCCTGGGGGAAGAGCTCTGGCCTGTACCACATCATACATCACCCTCCCTGTGTCCAAAGCAGAAAAGGACTGTGGCTATGGGATAGGACTCCAACTCGGAGTATATGTGTGTGTGTGGGGGGGGGGGGGGCTCTTCACAAAATCAGGTCCAGGGTGAAGCCTTGGTCAGAAGAATAAAGTCTGAATTTCGAGCCAGATCAGGGCAACCCCAGGAGTACCAGAGAGGAGCTTAGAACAGACCAGGTACCTGAGTTTCAGGCAGGACTGCCCCCCCGCCCCCGCCCCTCATAACAGCTCAGTGAGAATTGAATCAAAGTTAATTCATTCTCCACCCTGGAAACTCACTTACTTCCCCAGCTGCAAGAAGCCACAAAGTGATCAACAGATTCCACACCTTTAATACTCATGTGTCCACTTTAGTATTTTGGGTTAATTTATATTAAACAAATTAATGTATGTCTCTTGTAAAGGTTTAACTATAGAAATATCTATTTCCCTAGTTTCAGCATTCAGGCTGGATCTTTCTCTGTTGTTTGTTTAATATTTATTCATTTGGCTACACTAGGTTTTAGTTGCCGCACGCAGGATCTTTGATCTTCATTGTAGCATGTGGGATCTAGTTCCACCCTGGGGTTAAACCCAGTCCCCCTGCATTGGGAATGTAGACTCTTAGCTACTGGACCACCAGGAAAGTCCCCTGGCTGGATCTTTTAAGGGAAATCAGCTTCGTTCAAAATTAAAGCCACTCATGGGAGAAAGACTCCAAAATGAGAAATACAACTGAAAAAGATGTCAGTTACCCTGCCACATGGACACATTTAGGACACAGTCCCTCTTCATTACTCACAGTTTCCTTACCGGTAGATCCACCTACTCATTAAAGTTGATTTGTTACCCCAAATGAACACGAGCAGCGCTTTCGTGGATATCAACCGAGGAGCAAAAATATTGAGCTGCTGATTGCGTTTGAATATGGCTACGCTGCCTTCCTGTTTCAGCTCAGACTGTAAACAAGTATCATTTTCAGTTTATTTAGTGCCATGTTGTTTAGCATTGTTGTATTTTTGGATGGTGATGCCAATGTTGAAATGGCCCCAAGCAGAATGGGAAGTGCTGTCTAATCTCCTAAGCACAGGAAGGCTGGCTGTGCCCTCCAGACAAAACACGTGTGCTAGAGAAGCATCCTTTAGGAGTGAGATGTGGGGTTGCTGGCCAGGAGTTCAATGTTAATGAACTGACAGTATCTATCAATAAGGTGTCTTTAAGCAAACACACAGTAAACAAAGCCCTATGGCGATCAGGTGACAAAGGCTGGTGGCTGGCAGGCCCCTGCCCCAACTTGTCCCCACTTGTCCCCTTTTGTCATTGCTGTTCAGTCTCTAAGTCATGTCCGACTCTGTGTGACCCCATGGACTGCAGCACGCCAGGCTTCCCTGTCCTTCACCATCTCCCGGAGCGATCAAACTCATGTCCATTGAGTTGGTGATGCAATCCAACCATCTCATCTCGTCCTCTGTCGTCCCCTTCTCCTCCCGCCTTCAGTCTTTCCCGGCATCAGGGTCTTTTCCAATGAGTCAGCTCTTAGCATCAGGTGGAGAAAGTATTGGAGCTGTAGCATAAAAGATTTTAAAGATGACCCACATCAAAAAAAAAAAAAAAACCTAAAAAAAAGATTATCTAACAAAACACGTGTTTTCTTTACTTTTTTATTACAACTTTTACCGTAATTTTAACACAAACTGACATAACACAGACAATTCTCGCCAATCACCTGTTACACGTGGGGACCTGCCAGATTTGGGCTATTTGAAGAATATGAGTGGAGTTCTCTTCCAGGGAGGAAAACATTTACCCTCTCTCTCTCTCTCCTACCTGTGGTCACAACTCCGGGGGGCTGAGACACATGTTGAGGAAGAAGCTCTGCTGCTATGAGCTCGCAGGAATTTTAGGGGAGGAGATGCTAGACTCAAGTTTGAGTAGGCAGAATCTGAGGACTCTGGGGCCACAGAGGGTTCTAGAAGGGAGTTGGGTCTCAGGGTCTGTATCCGGGAGAAATGGGAGGTACGGTGATGCTCCTTAAGAAGCTTGGTTAGCTCTTCCTGCAGGGGTCCCCAGGCCCCAGGATCAGTTCTGGTCCAGGCTGCACGGCAGGAGGTGAGTGGTGATGGGAAACTTCATCGGCCGCTTCCCATCACGCCACCCGAACCATCCCAGTTCATGAGAAATTTGTCTTCCATGAAACCGACCCTTGGTGCCAAAAAGTCGGGGACTGCTGTCTTCCCTGGTGCTCAAACGATAGAAGAATCTGCCAGGAATGCAGGAGACCTGGATTCAGTCCCTGGGTTGGGAAAATACCCTGGAGAAGGGAATGGCTACCCACCTCAATATTTTTAATTGGAGAATCCCATGGACACAGGAGCTTGGCAGGCTATGGTCCATGGGGTCACAAAGAGTTGGACATGACTGAGCAATTAACACTTTCACACTTGCACTTTGCTGTCCTACAGGACAAGCTGTGAGGGCCAGCAGGGCAGCCAGGAGACCACATCTGCCCCACCCTACCTGACCTCACCCCCTGCCAAGCCACCACGCAGCGGCTGCCCTGACATCAAGGCCCCACACAGAAATGCAGACTGGTTCTGCTTGCACATGTTTGAAAAAAAAAATGCATAATTTATTGGTACAGTTTTTCACAATTGAATTTTACAGTTTAAAAAAGATACAAAACAGAGAACAAACAGTGGTCACATAAATTAAAAGCAGCACTATAGAAGGCATGCTTGCTCACCATCTCGACACTTTTTAAAATCTGGCTCGGGAGCAGGCAGGTCAGGATAGCCCCTGGGGATGCTGCCGCCCGAGCATCCTGCTAGCAGATCGCCCTGACTTCCACTCCAAGGTCAAGTCCTAGTGCAGAATCATTCAAGTCGTTCTGCGAAACCAGTGTGTTGGAGAGGAGGCAGGCCCTCACAGCACCCGTGTTTATGCTTCACACTTGGTCACTGAAGCCTGACTCTCCCCTGCAGGGGAACTTGAGGAGTGGCTGGAAGGGGCCACGGGGAGGCCCATGCACACCCCTCTCTCCTTTCTCACAAGCCCAGATGCTGGGCTTCAGAACATTTCCAGAACATTAAATTGGGGGCAGTCACTTTGTGAAAGCAGCTCACCTCCGCTACTGCTCACACAAGCAAAGGCAACAGTAGTTTCAAAAAGCTAAGAGTAGGACTACAGCCCAGGTTTCATGGGCACTGAGGTAGTAACAGGTAGACGCTTTACAGGAAACAGTGTTTCTTTAATTAGTATCCCTGATTTCCCTGGGGGAGCTCAATTTCCAGGTGAATGATTAGCAGGCTTTAAGAGGGTCAGCGGGCACCCCACTCGGGGTGAAGATCTCAGTGGGGACCCAGGGCATTGCACCATCTTCAAGGGAGGCCAGGGAGAGACTGGAGAATAAAGCGGGTCTCCCTGGGTGGAGGGCCCCCAGCAATGCTGGGGGTGATCACATATGATCCCAGGGCTCTGTCTACACACCCCCCAAAAGAAAAGGTATGGGTCCCCTTTCAAGTGGCTATCAAGTCATCACCCATGAAGAGCTGGTCCCTTTATTTCCAGCCAGCACTCTGGGCTGCTAAGACGGCACTCAAGAATGTTCATCAAATTCTCTCGTGGGGAGACAAGCCCTGGGGCTACCCCAAGTGGCCTCACCAGCAGTGGCCCGAGGCTGGCCCCTGCAGGTTCTGCCAGGCTTTCCCCCCTCCTTTCTCAAGCCGTCCAGCAGCTGAGAAGTCGCCAGCCCCATGTGCATCCAAGAGGGGTCCCTGGAATGGGGCCCGAGGGAAGGTCCCCGCGGGGCAGACCCCATCCCCTTGCTCTGAACTGGCTCTGCTGTCCACGTCCAGCCAGCCTCCCCAGTCAGACGAGGGTTCTGGAAGGGTGGGCCCGGGGCTAGTGGAGCCACGGGGTCTGCACAGAACTGTGGAAAGGGCCAAGACATACAGGATCATGATCGAATAAAAACAAAAGGAACTGGAATCACTTCAAAAAATACGTAGTGCATGGAGATTAAAAATCAGCCCTTTCATTTTCTTGTGGAATGTTGCCAAGGACCCAGGCCGTACAGATTAGCTGTTTGCCTGTTCAAAAAGGAAAAAGAAATGACGTTATTTTCTTAAGACAAACAACGGTAGAAAATTATTTTCCCCCTACATTGACAGGGAGGGCTTCCCTGGCGGCTCAGTGGTAAAGAGTCCACCTACCAACCCAGGAGACACGGGTTCCATCCCTGATCCAGGAAGATACCACGTGCTTCAGAGCAATTAAGCCCATGCACCACAACTGTGGAGCTTGCGATCGAGAGCCTGTGCTCCACAACCAGAGTGCGAGCTACACTGCTTCAGTCGCACCGGATTCTTTGTGACCTCATGGACCGACGCCCGCCAGGCTCCTCCATCCACGGGACTCTCCAGGCAAGAATACTGGAGTGGGTTGCTGTGCCCTCCTCCAGGGGATCTTCCCAACCCAGGGATCGAACTCGAGTCTTTTATGTCTCTCTGTACTGGCAGGCGGGTTCTTTACCACTAGTGTCACCTGGGAAACACCCCCATAAGAGAAGCCACTGCAATGAGAGGCCTGTGTACACCACGAGAGAAGTCTGTGCAGCAATAAAGACCCAGCACAGCCAAGAATTAAATAAATAAATTATTTTAAAATAAGACAAAGGGATATTTTTTTCTACAGCATGAAGGTTGGGTTAGACTGACAGAGGAGGAGAACGGTATGTGCAAAGGCCCGGGGATAGGAGGGGCCGGGATGTTGGGGGGGGGGGGGCTCCAATCACTGACACAGGCATCTCTGGGCCAACCAAGCATGACCTTAGCCTCTGAAAGTCATCCGGGGTCTACTTAGTCCTGCTTTCTACCCCACCTCCTCTGTTGTCATCCAGCGCCCCCACTTCCCGCTGCTGAGCCACCAGCATTGCCTAGACAAACAGTGCCTGTTGCTCTCTCATCCTGAAGGGAGAGTCATCCCTTGGCCTGCCTCACCTCCCCCCCAGTCTCCCCAGGACCCCTCCCAGCTTCCCTCCAACATGCAGCCCTCAATGGGACAATGGGGGTCATGTATTTCCAGTACTCGGCCCTTTGCAGGGTGGGGACTGGCTGGGCCCCAAGTCACTTGAAGGTGTTAGGTCTTAGGTTTTCGCTCAGGGGAGATGCAGGCCAGGCCTCACCAGGCAGTGCCCTCGGCTTCTGCCCCATCTCCTGGCACCTGGGCACCTTTGGAGACTTGAGGGAGACAGGACTTTCACCTGGAACCTAGCCCTGGAAGGAGCCAAAATCTGTGAGCACTGCCCAGTCCCAAGGCCCCGGCGATGGACAGACATCTGGTCCTCACCCAGGATCTGGACAGAACCCAAGACTGGGCTCCGCTGAGTATCATGCACCAGGCCAGAAGCCAGAGGCAGCAGGGGCACAAGGAACCCTTGGGATCGTTCCCTTCTCACTCCCTCTGCTTGTACCAGAGACACCAGCTGTTCCCTTGGGTGCCCATGAGAGCCCAGAGAAGGACAGGGCCAGGTCACGGCTGGCAGACCTGCCTCCCTCTGCTCTCTGCCCGTCACCAGAAGTTTGATGCAATGACATCTGAGTAGGTGAATGGAGCTATTAGAGCCAGAAGCAAGCCCATCACAGGGAGCCCTGGACCCTGCAAAGCTGGGCTCCAGAAGTTTGCATCCAAATGCATACGGGGAGGGGTGCCACCTGTCACAGGCCCACACCTCCGAGACCTCCGAGCTCTGACACAGTGAAGTGGGGAGCAGATCAGGAGGATGGAAAGGTTACCCTCATTTGTCGGTAGATCCAGTCTGTGAACACGGTCACGTTTCCGTACACTCCCGGTCGGTACGCCTTGGCACAGCCCGACCCCCAGCTCGTGTCTCCAATCAGCCACCAGACGCTGCTCTTCAGGGTGACCAGAGGACCTCCACTGTCTCCCTGGGGGACACAGCAGGTTACAGAGCAGAAGTCAATCCACAAGCCGCACAGGCCAGAGGGCAAGAAGGTGGGATGAGGGCTCAGCGGGGTGAAGGGAGAGTCTCCGGGCCTCCTCCAACCCCGGGTCCCAGGTATGGGAGGGGTGCATCTCACGGGCCCAGTGGGAGCCGGGCAGGGCCCAGCTGACCATCACCTGGCAGGAGTCGATGGTGCCCTGCAGGTAGCCTGCACAGATCATGGCAGGCGTGATGAGGTTGTTGTACATGTACTTGCTGTTGCACTGCCAGGGCTCAATGAGGTGCACCTTGGCTGCGTTCAGGTCATCCGAGGTCTTCCCTGCAACAAAGGACAGCACAGCTCACAGGAAGCCTGGTTTCCCTCCTGGACACGTGGACATGTGACCACGCCACTCCTCCCAAGCTGGCTCCTGGGCAACCGGAGCCGGCTTTCAACTGCTGGGGCATGTGTTTAAAGCGGCTCTAGATTGTGTTTGGGGAGGACTACCTGCCTCTGGGCTGTGGACCAAGCTCCAACTGTGTCCTAGAGTCGCCTGCTCATCGCCCAGCCACATGGTTCCCGAGGATCACTTCTCCTCCTCCACCGCTCTCTCTTCTCTGGACAGTTCCCAGGGTGGCACCAGGAGCTCCTGTGTTTCCACCTCAAGCACCCCGACCTTTCTCAGCCCCACGCGATCCTCCACCCCTGACTGCCTGCCCTCGGCTCCCTGCACGTGGAGACCTCCAACCACTTGCAGGTCTGTGCTGTCTCTGTCACCCACCTGCTGCATAAATGTTTGCGAGGCTCTGCGGGCTTGGGGGCTGAAGCAAGGCCTCTCCTGGAGTGCTTCCCCGCCCTAAGCCACACCACTTGATCCTCCTGAAGTCGGGAAGCGGCCCCATGCCCCACCATGGGGCTTAGATCACGAGCACGAAGCAGGACCCCCCGAGACTCCTCACTCTCCCGTGACACTCCATCCATCAACAGATTTGCTGGCTCTGCCCCTACCCCCACACCCACCTCCCTGGTCTGAGCCACCTTCTTGTCTTGCAGGATGTGGCAGTGGTCTCCTCACCATGCTGTCTACCTTTTCTGTGAGTCCCTACTTAGCCGTCCAACCATGTCACTCTCTAGCAGCTCCCTGTCCCATTCGGATTAGAAGCCAGTGCTATCATCATAGACTACAATACCCTATGCAACCTGACTCCAGACTGCCCCCTCACCCCTGGTTCATCATGCCCTGGCCACACTGTTCCTAAGACATTCTTGTCATGTTGATTTCAGCTCAAGTGTCCCCTCTTCCAGGAAGCCCTCCCTGACCACCCCTCACTATGACAAGCCTCCACCATTTGAAAGCACCTAGTTTCTCATTTCCTATCTGAGCACAATCTGCCCCCACCCCCACCCCCAACACCCATAGGAGAATGTGAAGCTTCTGCAGGCAGAGGTTTTGTCTTAGTTTGCTCACTGTTGCTTTCCTAGCCCTTGGAAGGTGCCCCACAGATCATGGCTGACTTTCCCTTTGGTCTCAGCTGCTGGGGAAACTTGTTCACAACTGGAAGGATCAACCCAGGAGCTTATCTAGTCCAGATGCCAGGATACGCAGCCCAGCTGCCATCTCTCCCTTCTCCCTCTAAGTCACTCTGCCCGTGTACTATTCACCTTACCAGCCTTCCTGGCACCAGGGACCAGTTTCGTAGAAGACAATTTTTCCATGGACCAGGGAGGTGGGGGGATGGTTTCAGGATGATTCAAGTGCATCACATTTATTGTGCACTTCGTTTCTATTATTACTACATTGTGATAATGTGGTAATGAAAGCAATGGGGAGCAGCTATAAATACAATGAAGCTTTGCTTGCTCACCCGCCGCTCACCTCCTCCTGTGTGGCCTGGTTCCTAACAGATCACTGACTAGCACCAGTCCATGGCCTAGGGTTTGAGACCCCTGCTTTAAAGAATTCCTTGTAGGTGTGCCCTAAACACTTCTGGAAGGATGTAAACAATATATTGCTATAAACGTACCACTAAGCACATCCACACACTCAGCAGTGGCCACGGGACTGGAAAAGGTCAGTTTTCACTCCAATCCCAAAGAAAGGCAATGCCAAAGAATGTCCAAACTATCACACAGTTGCACTCATCTCACACACTAGCAAAGTAATGCTCAAAATTCTCCAAGCCAAGTTTAAACAGTGCATGAACCATGAGCCTGCAGATGTTCAAGCTGGATTCAGAAAAGGCAAAGGAACCAGAGATCAAATGGCCAACCTTCTTTGGATCATTGAAAAAGCAAGAGAGTTTCAGAAAAACATCTACTTCTGCTTTGTTGACTATGCCAAAGCCTTTGACTGTATGGATCACAACAAACTGCAGAAAATTCTTAGAGATGGGAATACCAAACCACCTTACCTGCCTCCTGAGAAATCTGTACGCAAGTCAAGAAGAAACAGTTAGAACCAGACATGGAACAACAGATTGGTTACAAATCAGAAAAGGCAAGACTGTATACTGTTACCTTGCTTATTTAACTTATATGCAGAGTACATCATGAGAAATGTTGGGCTGGATGAAGCACAAGCTGGAATCAAGATTGCCAGGAGAAATATCAAAAACCTCAGATATGCAGATGATACCACACTCATGGCAGAAAGTGAAGAACTAAAAAGCCTCTTGATGAAAGTGAAAAAGGAGAGTGAAACAGTTGGCTTAAAGCTCAACATTCAGAAAACTAAGATCATGGTATCCAATCCCATCACTTCATGGCAAATAGATGGGGAAACAATGGAAACAGTGAGAGACTATTTTGGGGGCTCCAAAATCACTGCAGATGGTGAATGCAACCATGAAATTAAAAGATGCTTGTTCTTTGGAAGAAACGCTATGACCACCCTAGACAGCATATTAAAAAGCAGAGACATTACTTTGCCAACAAAGGTCCATCTAGTCAAAGCTATGGTTTTTCCAGTAGTCATGTATGGATGTGATAGCTGGACTATAAAGAAAGCTGAGCACGGAAGAACTGATGGTTTGGAACAGTGGTGTTGGAGAAGACTCTTGAGAGTCAATCAAACCAGTCCATTCTAAAGGAAATCAGTCTTGAATATTCATTGGAAGGACTGATGCTGAAGCTGAAGCTCCAATACTTTGGCCATCTGATGCAAAGAACTGACTCCTTAGAAAAGACCCTGATGCTGGGAAAGATTGAGGGCAGGAGGAGAAGGGACGACCGAAGATGAGATGGTTGAATGGCATCACTGACTCGATTTTCATGAGTTTGAGCAAGCCCTGGGAATTGGTGATGGACAGGGAAGCCTGGTGTGCTGCAGTCCATGGGATCGCAAAGAGTCAGACCCCACTGAGCTACTGAACAGAACTGAAGCACATCCAATGCTCCATATAAAGGAAACAGCCACGATCTCTTCATTTGAAAAGTGTTATCAGAGATGAAACCAAATTATAACTGAAGGCAGCAAGGCCAACCTGCGTCAGGAGAGTCTAGAGCCTCTTCCCCTCTGTCAGGGCAGGAGGACTAGGCTTTGATGACCTGCCGCCAGTCACACAGGCCCATCCTCACCGAGACTGTTATCCTCAGCATCAAAGGTTGGCAGACTTCCAGGCAGCCCATTAATGACTATGTGACTTGAACACAGTGGGCCACGTGCCTCTCATGTTTAGATGGCCTCTACACTCCAAAAAGCAGTTTCCACTCACTGTTCCATTTGTTTTTTTAATTAATTTTTTGATGTGGACCATTGTAAAAAAGAAAAAGTATTTGTTGAATTTGTTACAGTATTGTTTCTGCTTCATATCTTGGTTTTTTGACCACGAGGCACACGGGATCTTCGCTACCTGATGAGGGATTGAACCCACACCCACTGCTCTGGAAAGTGAAGTTTTAACCATTGGACCACCAGGGAAGTCTTTGAATTTAATCTTAATCAGGGCACTGTAGTAGGTAGGGCAGGTATGATTTTCCCATCTAGCATGTAGAGAAACTGAGGCAAATAGCCTGGGTGAATCACGCAAAAGTCATCCAATCATTCAGTGGTAGAACCAGGATCAAAACCTAGATCTCCCACATCTGAACCCATGCTCTGATTCATGGGACCTGCAGACCCTGTGCCAGGAGACTCACCTTTCTCGTAGGTGGCCCCCCACCCGGAAATCCAGCAGGACTGAGTTGGCTCCAGCATCATGCCTGGATTGGGCAGACACACTGGTTTCACTTTGTCTGTTTCATGAAGAGAAAACACAGTGAGCGGGTCTGGTCTAATTGAAGGCTTCGGGTGATGGTCTGCACCTGGACTTTCCCATGTGCAAGCACTGGGCCTGGGACCACCACCCTGCGGCCCAAGGAAACTTCTAGATTCCAATGTGCCCTAGCATCCTCTTCCTCTCCCTGCCAGGACCCTTTTTCTAAGAGACAAGAAGTTCTCCTCTGGAAGTTAGGGTTTGGGAAAACTGAAGGTCAACAGTCAACAGCTGAAGGTCCACAGTCAACAGTCCTGTGATGCAAACAGTTGACACTTTCCATGGCAGGGCTGCATACACTACAGACTAAACTGATGACGATGAAGGTAAGTGATCAGTGTACTATAATTAAAGGCACAGTGTCAGCTGTCACTGGCCAGACCCTGATGATGAAATGACTTTTGTAGACGTGCATGTGTGCTAAGTCGTCACTATGTGGTGGAGGGAAGACGCGGTGGTGACCACATTGCTCAGTGGTCACAGGCACATTTTGGGGTGGCTCAGCCCCTGGCAAACCCTCTTCTAGCAGTCAAAGCCTCCCCCAGCCCTGCACTCTGTAACTCAATGCACATTTCCTCCATCCAGTCTTCACAGCACGTTTCATTTCTAGTCAGCCTCTTAAGATTTTGTCAAAACTCCCTGGGCTGAAGAACACAGGTACACACCGTTGAAAGTCAGAGGCGTCTGCAGCTTCATTAGAGCGATGTCATTGTTCTTGGTCTTGGAATCATAATTTGGATGGGAAATCACTTTTGCTACTCGGTATCCACTTCCATAGAGCATGTAAGATTGTTTCAAGATTCCCGCAAAGGCTGCCCAGATCTTGGGATTGTTAAGGGGTCTGGAAGACAGAGACGAACACTGCTCAGCGTGTAAGAAGGGCAAACACACAACACGCATCCCACAGTTCTCAAAAGTCATCAGCCCCCGAGGTGACATGACTTGTCAGAAGCCACACCAGAATGGCCAGGTGGTCTCAGGCTCTTCTCTCTCCCCATCTTATGCAGCCCCACCCTCCCACACCCCTCTCCTTTACTTCATCAGTGAATCATGTTCCTCCCGTATTTCTGTACCAGCCTGCAAACCCTCACAATTCCAAGAACACTTATGCACGTGTGCTAAGTCACTTCAGTCATGTCTGACTCTTTGTGACCCTATAGACTATAGCCTGCAATGCTCCTCTGTCCATGGAATTCTCCAGGCAAGCATACTAGAGTGGGTTGCCCTGCCCTCCTCCAAGGGATCTTCCTGACCCAGGGATCAAACCCATGTCTCTTATGTTTCCAGCAACGGCAGGCAGGTTCTTTACCACTAGCGCCACCTGGGAAGCCCAACAACACTTATTCTTGAATCTAAATGCCTCCCTGAGGTTTGAAACCTCTTTTCCAGCATGACTGGGTCTTACTCATCTTTATATACTAGAACATCTCCTGGCACACAGTAGGTGCTTAATAAATGTGTAGCAGGGAGTAGACTCTGAGTCTAATAACCACCCAGGCACTACCTTCTTTTGGGTGCTTCCCTTCTAAGAAAATCCCAAGTCTTACAGCCCATGGGATCTGGTGGATGGAAGGAAGGGACACTCGTGAGTTATACACACTCCTTCCTTCAACCCTCACAACAACCCTCGAAGCAGCACACCTGTCTTACAGGTGCAGACGCTACTGTCAGACACCTGGAGTGAACTGTCTGAGGCTACTCAGCCAGGGAACAGCCAAGTCAGGCCCAGCCTCACTCTAAACACGACAAACAGCTCCCATGAGCGTGGCTTTTTCAAAATATCCATGTGACCAAAAAAATTCCTTGTTTAAGAAAAAAGGAGGAAGAACAGTATTTTCTACAAAAGCTAACACTACAAATGATGGCCATCCTCACCCCACCCCCCAAGCATCTGCATGGGAAACTCTGGGGCCCAGGCTGCTTACTGGGTCACAGAGAACCTTCCAGCAGGACAGCTTGAGGTTTGAGTGTCTCCAAGTTTCTCTGAGTGTCTCTCTGGGGATGAGCACCCAGGGAGCCCAAACCTGTCGAGAGGACAGCGGCCTCGGGAAGTGATAGGACCGAGCTGAGAAGACTGTGGACTGGAATTCCTTCTGATCATAGCATCACCCCAGCCCTATACTGCATCCCTGTGCTGACTCAAAGCGATGGACACATGCTATGGAATGTGTTGGCCACAGTTTCACGTGCTTCACAAGTTGTCTGACCCTCCCTGTGACACCAGGGAGGCGCCCTTAAAAGCCCCAGCTGTCCCCAAGGAAACCAGAGCCTGCAGGAGTCAGCGACTTTGCTCAAGGCCTCTGGCAGCCACCTCGGAAACCCAGGCCCCGCCTCCTACCCCCCGGTCCCGCCCCTTCCCTCAGGCCACGCCCCCTCTCAGGCCCCACCTCCTGGAGACTTACTCCTCCACACAGTGCGCGGCCGTCACGATCCACTCCGGGGTGATGATGGAGCCGCCGCAGACGTGGATGCCCTGCACGTGCAGGCTAACCTGCCAGGGCCATTCCCCCGAGTTAGCATTCGATCCCCCCACGATCCGGCTCTGGCGGCTCGTCTTCACGGAGACGCCGCACTCTGAGAGTAACAAGCACAGCACAGCCGGCCCGTGAGCAAAGCAGGGCCTCCCCCGCCCAATCCCACTGCGCCCCTTGCTGCCCCCTTCCCGCCTCCCCCGGACACCTGCCACGCTGTGTGCCCAGACAGTTCCCATCCCAAGGTTCCGGCCTGGCTGCAGGGTGACCATTCTCGCCTCTGGTTCCTGTTTCTCTGGGCTCTCACCTTAGAATAGGCAGCCTGGTCTCTTCTAGCTGGGGTGGGGGGCCAAAGGACACTCCTCCAGAAACCACCCGCACCCCCACCTCCGCAGCCACCCCCAGGAAGCACGACTTCTGATAGCCCTGGATGCCACCTGTTGCTTGGCACTTGTGTGATTCCATCAGCATCTCCCAAATACCCATGTAGCAGGGCAGCTAACAAAGGCCCTGGGACCCCCTTGAATGCTCAGAGACTCCAAGATTCCTGAACAAAGCTAAGGAGAGCTTTTCTCCTATGCACTGCTCTCAAACCATCACAAGGTGGACAGTGTGGGCAGGAGGGCAGGGCAGGCACCATGCTCTCCGGGCACCTAAAGAAGCTTGAACCAACCTGTGTGGGAAGTTAATGCCAGGACCACTGGGGAATGGTGTTCACCCCGGAGCGACTGCTAGCTTCACCTGTTCAAACTGGGAATCCAAGCTTCAGGCCCGAGACCCATACGGGAAGAGGATGGGGCCATACCAAAGAAGGGAGCTCAGGGACAGTGTCCTCCATACCCATAAAAGGTTTGGAAATGTGAAAGTGGTAGTTGCTCAGTCATGTCTAACTCTTTGCGACTCCATGGATTGTAGCCCATCAGGTTCCTCTATCCTTGGACTTTTCCAGGCAAGAATACTGGAGTGGGTTGCCATTTCCTTCTCCAAGGGATCTTCCTGACAGAGGGCTTGAACTCAGGTCTTCTGCATTGCAGGCAGATTCTTTACTGTCTGAGCCACCAGGAAGCCCAAAAAGGTTGGAAGCTGTAAGTAGTCCAAACACTGGAATGGGGACACCCATGGGTCTCCAGCCCCCCAATGTGGACACCACAGAGAGGGCCCATCCGTCTCTGGACAGCTGGTTCTTGGACCAAAGCAGTGGGTATCTAAAGTGTATCCAGATTCAAGAACGGGAATCCTTGGGCAGGGTGCTGGGCATGTCCTGACCCGTTACTCCACCTTCTATCTCCAAGTCCCCCAAAGACACACTGGGATACAGTTCAGTAAGGTATCAAATTTGATACCATTTGATTTTGATATTAAATGGGATACCAAAATGTAGCCCATTTTAGAAATACAAAACAGAAAACCAAGAATCACTTACCTATACAGCGTAAAGAAACCACTGTTTTTGAAGAGCAGACATCACTACAAAAGAAGAGGGGGAAATTCTGGTCATGATAACAATCAAGACACTTGATTCTCAAAATACTTAGAAATAAATATTTTCTTCCAATGTTCTCACTCCCTGCCTCTTTAGATATAGAAGAGTTTGCAATTGAAGACATGAATAGAGGAAGTAAATCTACATACACAGGGGGACAGTAGTAAAGAGTAGACACCAAGTCAAACTGCAGGGTTCAAATCCAAGCTGTGTGACCTTCGGCAAGGCACTTAACTTCTCTGTGCCTCGATTTCCCCATCGGCAGAATGGGCTAATAATAGTACCAAAGGTGGTTGTGAAGATAATCACACATTGTGTGTGTGTATGTTAGTCATTCAGTCATGTCAAGTCAAAGCACACATCATATCAGCTGTTATTTTTTTTTTCCTTGGAGTTTAAAATCATCCTTTAATTTTGTAAGGAAGACTTTTGTAAACTTCCAGCTTCTTGCAACTGCTTTATATGAACTGCACAGAAAACTATACAACCATTTGCCTGGGAACAGAAGAGTTATTCCTTGGGAGGCAAACATTCCAGGTTACAGATGAAAAAGAACTAACCAACGCATTCCACTGTACACTGAATTTTCTCCTAATGTGCTAAAAAGAGAAGCAGCATTGACGCCTAGGTATTTGACAGTGTTCCTTTTGTTTTTTCTTTCTTTTTTTCTTTTTTAAATTATGGAAGTATGATGACACATTTACAGCAGATTTGGAAAATACAGAACACAGTTACATACAGTTCCTCTATATACTACAATTATTTTTAAGTAGATAAAGATTTTCAGTTGGAATTTCAATATCAAACTCTCAAAAATTAATAGAATGAATAGAAAATTAGAAAGATATAACAGACCTGAAAAACACTATGTACTGAATGTTCTCCTGACATACTGAGAAGAAAAGCAGTTACTGACTGTAAGAACGCCGCGGCAAGACAAAGAGAGCGCCGGAGTATTAAGAGGCTTTATTGGGCAATCGCTCCCGGGTAAAGACCCCAGGAGCGAGCAGTGGGAAAGCGGGAGTCTGCAACCTGCGGGAAGGCGGGGGCGACACTTATATACCCTGGCGGATGCGGAAGTGGCGGGACCTTTCCAAATATGGTTAGAATCGGGCTCTAGGGTGCTGATTGGACTTTTCGGTCGTGTCAGTTTTTGATTGGCCGGAGTCTTGGCGCCTTCGCGTCCATCAGTCCGCCTGGCAACGGGCTGTTGATTGGTGGATGTCTGTCCCTGGGACTTATCCGGGACTTTCCGGCGGGGGCTTCTCTGTCAGCATTTTGCGGCTGGCGCTTTCCCGCCTGAGGTCAGCGTGACCTTTCACTGACACCCAGGTGTCTGAAGCTGGCGGGATTCTTCTGAACATAAACAGTTCATGTGGGGCCAGATTAACTGTTACACGGCAGAGAAGGACATAGGCACACCCATCACACAATCCCATGTAGTTGCTCAGTCACATCCGACTCTTTGCGACTCCATGGACTACAGCATGCCAGGCTTCCCTGTCCTTCACTATTTCCTGGAGTTTGCCCAGACTCATGTCCATTGTGTTGATGATGTCATCCAACCATCTTATCCTCTGTCACTCCTTCTTCTCCTGCCCTCAGTCTTTCCTCTGATGAGTCTTTTCCATTGAGTTGGCTTTTTGCATCAGCTGGCCAAAGTATTGCAGCTTTAGCATCAGTCCTTCCAGTGAATACACAGGGTTGATTTCCTTTAGGATTGACTGGTTTGCTCTTGCTGTCCAAGGGACTCTCAAGAGTCTTCTCCAGTGCCACAATGCAAAAGCATCAATTCTTTGGCACTCAGCCTTCTTTACCAGCTTTCATATCTGTATATGACTACTGGAAAAAGCATAGCTTTGACTATATGGACCTTTGTCAGCAAAATGATGCCTCTGCTTTTTAATATGCTATCTAGATTGGTCATAGCTTTCCTTCAAAGGAGCAAGCGTCTTTGAATTTCAAGGCTGCAGTCACCATCCATAGTGATTTTGGAGCCCAAGAAAATAAAATATGTCATTGTTTCCAGTTTTTCCCCATCTATTTGCCATGAAGTGATGGGACCAGATGCCCATGATCTTTTTTTGAAAGTTGAGATTTAAGCCAGCTTTTTCACTCTCCTCTGTCACTCTCATCAACAGGCTCTTTAGTTCTTGTTCGCTTTCTGCCATTAGAGTCATATCATCTGCATATCTGAGGTTGTTGATAGTTTTCCCTGCATTCTTGATTCCAGCTTGTAATTCATCCCATGAACCTGGTCCAAACCTCACAGTGACCAACAGCCCCCTCTGCTGGCTGGCACGAGTGACTGCGCTTCTTTGCCAATCCCAGCAGTGGCCTGGCTTCATGACACTCACCTTCTGACAAAAAAGCATTAAGGTACCAACTACAGAATCACCCTCATTTCTGGAGAGCATCCAATCCGTGGCCAAGCCTAGCTTCTTGGAACCTTCCCCAAATGACTCAATACAAGCCCACATCCCATTACAAGTCCCTTCTAACACCTCCCACTGAGACACCCATGGTTCCAAGACAAGGTGTGTCCTGGTGGTCTCTGGCTGGGCAGCACTGGATGCCAAGAGAAGACATGCTCCCATTGAGAGCGGATGTTTTCTAAGGATCATCAGGTCATTCTCTGATGATGCACTGTGCAGCCACCTGACCCTGATGCTGGGAAGGACTGTGGGCAGGAGGAGAAGAGGGAGACAGAATGAGATGGTGACGGACAGGGAAGCCTGGCCCGCTGCAGTCCGTGGGGTCACAAAGAGTCAGACACAACTAAGTGACTGAAGAACAACACAGCATCAGGGCATGAAGCAGACACTCAGACGAGCCCTACGAGGAGCCTGAGGTTCAAGCAGCAAAGTGCTACATCTGAAAGCAAACAGGAAAGAAGTCCTCCCACCCCCTGATGAGCATACGGGATGCCATTGACCTTTCCTCCAAAGTCTGAAGCCATCTTACGAGTTACCACGAGGGGGCAGCCTTCCCCCCCTTGCTCAGCCCTGGTTCCAGGTAACCGAGCAAGACAGAGACAGTCTTTTACAGAGAGCCCAGGTAGCTGTGTTGAGCTTCTCAGGGGAGCACACCACGGCCCGCGGTTTTGATGGCCACACCTGGCCATGGGCACACTTCCTCCTAGGCTCAGCTTGTCACATTCTTGGGGACGGCCAGGCTCAGGTGCCCTGGGCAGAAGTCAGCCCCCCGGGTCGCCAGGAACACAAATTTGCTTCAGTCTCCCACTCACAGAGAAGGAGAGGGAAGCTAGACTCGTCCTTCTTTCCCTAAATACAGCACCTGGCACCTGGCCAGCAGGGAGGGACGACATGGTTTGGTTCAGTGATGGGAGACTGGGAGCTGAGGAAGCTCTATGCTGTGTGTCTTTTACATGAAAGAACATTCCATTTGGATAACAGTATTCTGTACTCCCTGGTTGCTCAGTGGTAAAGAATCTGCCTGCAATGTGGGAGACCCAGGTTTGGTCCCTGGACCAAGAAGATCCCCCTGGAGGAGAGCATGGCAACTCTCTCCAGTATTCTTGCCTGGAAAATCCCATAGACAGAGGAGACTTGAGGGCTACAGTCCATGTGGTCGCCAAAGAGTCAGACACGACTTAGTGACTAAATAACACCAGCACGAATGTTCTAGGAAGACTGTGAACATTTTAAACATAAGCAACGCAAACTGAGTAGCTTAAGCCTAGCCCTCTCCCCCACCCTCCTAACTAGTCAAACCATCAACCGTGGGACCAACTCAGGTTCACGTCCACCCACTGGACACACTGCGACCCTCCTAGCACTGCAAGTTGGCCTCCAGGTATGGGAAACACTGGTAGACTGGAGTAGCTGCTAGCTCCCAGGCCCATCCCTCACACAGCATCCTCTGATTCTACAGCTGGGGCTGGGGGACCAACCTTCCCCACTGCCTGGGCTGAGAGGACTTCTGAGAAGCAGAGTTTCCAGTGTGAAGCCAGCAGGCTCCCGTGAAAACCAGGATGAGCTGGTCACCCCAGTGGGGACCACGAGACATTCTTCTGGATTCCTAGACACACACCCTGACACACACTAAGATGCATCTCTAGTGTCTGCAGAGAGAAGAAAATCGGGAAAGAAGAATCTTCATTTTGTAATGTTATCCAATACCATGGAGGGCAGAGGGCACAAATAGGTGGCCAATAGACCATAGCCACTTCCCAAGGTTTCGCTAATGGTAAAGAACCTGCCGGCAATGCAGGAGATGTGGGTTTGATCCCTGGGTCAAAAAGATTCCATGGGGGAGGAAACGGCAACCCACTCTAGTATTCTTGCCTAGAGAATCCCATGGACAGAGGAGCCTTGTGGGCTACAAAGAGTCAAACCTGACTGAAGCATGAATGCCTCCCTAGAATGAACCCAGAGCTTCTCAGAGTGACAGGTCCTACCTAGAATCCAATCTCCTCCCTGTCAGAACCTCAGACAAACTCTCACCAGCAACAGAGAAATCAAACTCTTAACGGTGATTCTCCCAGACTTCTCCTACTCAATTGCAGTTTTTGAAAGCAAAAAAGAAATAACCATGCCCAACACACCCATGAAAAGATGATCAACATCACTAATTATTAGAGAAATGCAAATCAAAACAATGAGGTATCACCTCACACTGGTCAGAAGGGCCATCACTAAAAAGTCTACAAATAAATGCTGGAAGGGTTGTGGAGAAAAGGGAACCTTCCTACACTGTCTGGGGGAATGTAAGTTGGTGCAGCCACTATGGAGAACAGTGTGGAGATTCCTCTGTTCAATTTAGTTCAGTCATTCAGTCATGTTTGACAGTTTGTGACCCCATGGCCTGCAGCACGCCAGGCTTCCCTGTCCATCACCAACTCCTGGAGCTTGCTCAAATTAATGTCCATCAAGTCGGTGATGCCATCCAATCATCTCATCCTCTGTTGTCCCCTTCTCCTCCCGCCTTCAAACTTTCCTAGCATCAGGGTCTCTCCCAGTGAGTCAGTTCTTCCCATCAGGTGGCCAAAGTATTAGAGTTTCAGCTTCAGCATCAGTCCTTCCAATGAATATTCAGGACTGATTTCCTTTAGAATGGACTGGTTGGATCTCCTTGCAGTGCAAGGGACTCTGAAGAGTCTTCTCCAACACTACAGTTCAAAAGCATCAATTCTTCAGTGCTCAGCTTTCTTTATAGTCCAAATCACACATCCACACATGACTACTGGAAAAACCATGGCTTTGACTAGCTGGACCTTTGTTGGCAAAGTAATGTCTCTGCTTTTTAATATGCTGTCTAGTGTGGTCACAGCTTTTCGTCCAAGGAGCAAGCATCTTTTAATTTCATGGCTGCACTCACCATCTGCAGTGATTTTGGAGCCCAAAGAAATAAAGTCTCTCCCTGTTTCCCCATTTATTTGCCATGAAATGATAGGACCAGAAGCCATGATCTTAGTTTTCTGAATATTGAATTTAAAGCCAAATTTCCACTCTCCTCTTTCACTTTCATCAAGAGGCTCTTTAGTTCTTCTTCACTTTCTGCCATAAGGGTGGTGTCATCTGCATATCAGAGTTTATCGATATTTCTCTCAGCAATCCTGATTCCAGCTTGTGCTTCATCCAGCCTGACATTTTGCATGATGGAGTCTGTATATAAGTTAAATAAGCAGAGTGACAATATACAGCCTTTGATGTACTCCTTTCCCTATTTGTAACCAGTCTGTTGTTCCATGTCCAGTTCTAACTGTTTCTTCTTGACCTGCATACAGATTTCTCAGGAGGCAGGGAAGGTGGTCTGGTATTCCCATTTCTTTAAGAATTTTCCACAGTTTGCTGTGATCCACACAGTCAAAGGTTTTGGCGTAGTCAATAAAGCAGAAGTAGATGATTTTCTGGAACTCTCTTGCTTTTTCAATGATCCAGTGGATGTTGGCAATTTGATTTCTGGTTCCTCTGCCTTTTCTGAATCCAACTTGAACATCTGGAAGTTCACGGTTCACGTATTGTTAAAGCCTGGCTTGGAGAATTTTGAGCATTAGTTTGCTAGCCTGTGAGATGAGTGCAATTGTATGATAGTTTGAACATTCTTTGGGATTGCCTTTCTTTGGGATTGGAATGAAAACACCTTTTCCAGTCCTGTGGCCACTGCTGAGTTTTCCAAACTTGCTGGCATATTGAGTGCGGCACTTTCACAGCATCAGCTTTTAGGATTTGAAATAGCTCCACTATAATTCCATTACCTCCACTAGCTTTGTTTGTAGTGATGTTTCCTAAGGCCCACTTGACTTCACATTCCAGGATGTCTGCCTGGGTGATCACACCATTGTGGTCATCTGGGTCATGAAGATCTTTTTTGCATAGTTCTTCTGTGTATTCTTGCCACCTGTTCTTAGTATCCTCTGCTTCTGTTAAGTCCATACCATTTCCGTCCATTCAACTTCAGTTTTACTGGTTGAGTCATAGACTTGGAATACTATGATATTGAATGGTTTGCCTTGGAAACGAACAGAGACCATTTTGTCCTTTTTGAGATTGCATCCAGGTACTGCATTTTGGACTCTTTTGTTGACTATGAGGGCTACTCCATTTCTTCTAAGGGATTCTTGCCCACAGTAGTGGTCATCTGAGTTAAGTTCACCCATTCCAGTCCATTTTAGTTCACTGATTCCTAAAATGTCAATGTTCACTCTTGCCATCTCCTGTTTGAGCACTTCCAATTTACCATGATTCATGGACCTAACATTCCATGTTCCTATGCAATAGTGTTCTTTATAGCATTAGACTTTACTTCTATCACCAGTCACATCCTCATCTGGGCGTTGTTTTTGCTTTGACTTTGTCTCTTCATTCTTTCTGGAGTTATTTCTTCACTCTTCTCCAGTAGCATATTGGGCACCTACTGACCTGAGGAGTTCATCTTTCAGTCTCCTATCTTTTTGCCATTTCATACCGTTCATGGGGTTCTCAAGGCAAGAATACTGAAGTGGTTTGCCATTCTCTTCTCCAATGGCCCACATTTAGTCAGACCTCTCCACCATGACCCGTCCATCTTGGGTGGCCCTACATGGCATGCCTCATAGTTTCATTGAGTTAGACAAGGCTGTGGTCCATGCGATTAGTTTGATTAATTTTGGGATTCCTCAAAAGACTGAAAATAAAAGTGCCATATTATCCTGCAATCCCACTCCTGGGCATATACCCAAAGTATAATTCAAAAAGATACATGCACCCCAGTGTTCACTGCAGCATTATTTACAGTGTCAAGACATGAAAGCAACCTAAATATCCACTTATCGGTGAGTGTATAAAGATGAGGTACACATATACAATGGAATACTACTCAACCATAAGAAAAAATGAAATAATTCCTTTTGCAGGAACATGGACGGACCTAGAAATGATCATACTTAATGAAGTAAGCCAGACAGAGAAAGACAAATGCCATATGATATCACTTATTTGTAGAATCTAAAATATGAAACAAATGAATTTACCAATGAAACAGACAGACTCACAGACATAGAAACAGGCTTGTGGTTGCCAAGGGGAGGGAAAAGCAGATGGACTGGAATTTGGGGATTAGCAGATGCAAACCCTTACATATGGGATGGGTATAAACAGCAATGTCCTACTGTCTACCACAGGGAACTATATTCAATATCTTGTGATAAACCATATGGAAAAGAATGTGGAAAAGAATGCATATATTTGTATAACTGAATCACTTTGCTGTTTGGTGGAAATGAACACAACACTACATCACCTATACTTCAGGAAAACACATTTTTGGAAAAAGAAAGCAACAAATCGAATACCTGTGGTAGAGTTTTTTGTAGAGATCGACATTGCTGGCGCTTGTGTTCAGCTTCATAAAGCTTGTGGCTCCGCTGTTATCAGCTATCCCTTGGCTAGAATAGAAACTATTCCTAAAAAAAGACAGAAAATCTTACCTAAAATAATAGCTTTGCCGCGAGCATTTGCAAATCCTATGCTATCTCTATATCGCAGTACTTCTCTTATATGATGTGCAGGTTAAGAGCATTTTGGAAAACAAAAACACAACTTCTAATTAAGTGACACCACATCATAACCATCCAGTAACCCAGAAGTGTCAGGGGAAAGTCCTCTATCAGTCATGTTTCGAATCTAATCTGGATCGGGATAAAAAAGCAGTAAGAATATAGATGTGTGAGGACGTATTATGTACCCGAACGTATACTGTAACCACACATCAAAATGCTCCCAGTGATAAAATGTAGACCCTGAACCATGATGAGACATCCCTACGTCATTCATCATGACACAGACTGCAACTAGGGGGAGAATGGCATTTGGAAGTAGTTCCCTAGCTAAGATGGCAACTTTCTTACCAAGTGGTAATTCATTTTGAAAACTGGCATAGGGGGAATAGGCTAGAACTGCAGAGAAGTCACATGGGGACACTCCCAAGGAAGAGAAGGTGGCAGCAAAATGGCACAGCCTCCCCCCGGGAGGCCGGACTGGCAGGCGTGCTCTGATGAGCCCCTGGCTGGAACCTTCTCTGGCGGCTGCATGAGGGATGTATTCTCTTACCGATAAATCCAGTGATCAGCTCTCTCTGTTCAAAAGCCCCCAGTGCCTCCTGCACTGAAGCTCTCACAGATCTGTTCCCTCCGACCTCCCCCGCAGTCCTCCCCACTGGCCCCCACCTCCAATCCCCACCCAGGAGGTGAGCTGAGTCAAGGCACCTTGCTCTGGAGTCTCCTCTGGAAATGAGTCTCTCAAGGCCCTTAGCCAGCGCCCGGGACACTGGTGACCTCAGCGCTGGATAGCCCCGAGGAACCAGGAGCAGATGGACGCCCAGGAGGAGGTGGGGCTGGGGGCAGCCAGGAAGAGGCTGAGGGTGTGGGGCACATGCTCCCCTGCTGGCTCCCTGGGGCAGCTTTGGGAAGAAGGCAGAGGTATATGGTGTCCGTGGGCTGGCACTTCTGGGGAGGGGCAGAGAGAAGCACCGATTCTATGCTTCTGTGCCTGTCACCATCACCAGGGAGGACGAGGGGCCCAGAACTCACCGGTAGCCCATGTCCTGGCAGGCCACCCTCCCGTAGCTCTCAGTCCAGTCGTCCTGGCACACGGGATGCCAGGACTTCCTCTGTGCCGAGTACACCTGAAGGATGAAGTTCGGTCCATAGAGGCGAACTGCGGGAAGGGAGGCTCCAGTGAGTCCCAGACCATGACCTTCATCCTGTCCCCATGAGGGCCCCACCCTCCCCGGACACAAAGCCTCCAGAGGGGTGGAGCTGGGCTCCCTCTCCCCAGCTACACACAGGAGATGCCCAGAATCTAGCCTTTCCTCTCAAAATGTGCCTTTCAGCCAACAGAGCTGAAAACAGGTATTCAGATAAAAATGAACATCGTGCACATGTGTTCATGACAGCATTATTCACAGGAGCTGAAAGTGGGTAACATCCAAATGTTCATCGATGGAGGAACACACAGAGTGCAGTCCTTGCACACAATGGAACATTATTAGTCCATGAAAGGGGATGAAACACTGACATGATACAATAGGCATGAACGTTCACACAATTGATATTCTCCTGACTGAAAGAGGCCAGGCGAAGGTCCACACACTGTAGGACCCCATTTCTATGAAACATCTGGAGGAAAAAAAATCTATGGAGACGGAAAGCAGATTAGCTGTTGCTTAGGGCCTGACATCTGGGCTCAGGCCACCGTGGAGCAACCAGCCTCGATGCTTCCGTGATGAGCGATTCCATCCACCATGTGAGTGGATAAACCAACTGTAGGGGCATCCAGACAGTGGAATATGATTCAACCTTTAAGAGAAATGAGCCATCAGGCTGTGAAGAGACATGGAGGAATCTTAAGTGCACATCAGTCAGTGATGAAAGAAGCCAATCTGAAAAGGCTACACACATCCTGTCGGATTCCAACTCTATGATACTTGGGAAAAGGCAGAACCATGGAGACAGTAAAAGGATCAGTGGTTTTCTGACGAGAAAGTGGTTTCAAGACAGGGAGGTGAGGGCTGACAGGTCCAAGCTTCTATCCGTGGCTCAGTCTTTGTGGGGACCAGGGCTCACAGGAGCCATTCACGAGCCACCCAGAATCGCCTCATTGAACAAAAGACCCTTCTATCATCGAGGAAATGACAAGGGCCTTAGGAGCTCCGTGTCAGGAGCTGGGGTCGGGGACCAAATACCAAAACAAAGGATGCACCAGGTGGTCTCATCACTTGAAAATCACCGTGGTCTCAGGAGCCCTGTGCTGGGAACTGGGGTCAGAGACCAGCACCTGTCCTCTATTTAATCTCACAGTGTTTGAGTGTATGTATTAGTATTTGTGAGCATGAGACTGTGTGTGAGTGTGTTACGTGAGAGTGTAAGTGAAGTGGTAGGTGAGATTTTTCACTGCATACCCTTAGCTACTTCCTGAATTTTGGTCTGTTTGAGGACATTAACTCTTACAGTATTTAAATAAATACAACTTCAACATTAAGAAGAGAAAGTCTCTCCAGGCAACATCATGAGTTGGTCTTGCTAGAGTTATCCAAACGTGCGTGGACACAGGTATTAAAACATCAAACACCATTCCATCCAATAGAGTAACCACGTCTGCTCAACCTCAGAAACTCTCCACTTTACTTAAGAAAATGGTGACAAATATACTATCACCCATAAAGCCAAAGCACTATGTGGACAGTCTGCAGAGTGAGTGAGTCTGCCAAGTGCAAATCCTCTCCTGTAGGCGAGAACTCCAGGAACTCCCAGTGCAGAGGAACCCACGGGCAGGACAACAGTGTCTCACACAGGTGCCCTGACCTGGACTTGGGGTGGAAAAGAGAACTATCTCCCCAGGATGGCCACAGAGGGATGGACAGCTCTGGGGTGGAGCACAGCCTCTGTCTGCATCACTTGCACTCAACGTTAATGGCTCCCAGAGCATGCAGCAGGCTTCAGGCTTTGGGTAGGGACTTCAGCGGATATCAGCGCAACCCTCATCCTCAGGCATCATTTTCCCTGCTACACCTACTTTGTGTTCAGTTGCTCAGTCGTGTCTGACTCTGTGTCACCCCATGGATTATAACCCACCAGGCTCCTCTGTCCATGGGATTCTCCAGGCGAGAATACTGGAGTGGGTTGCCTTTCCCTTCTCCAGGGGATCTTCCCGAACCATGGACCGAACGCATGTCTCTTGCATCTCCTGCACTGGGAGGTGAATTCCTTACCACTAGCGCCACTTGGGAAGCCCACAGCTACTGAAAAATTCATTGAAAATAAAAGCAGAAGCAGGGTCCACCCTGGGACAATGGACATAGACCACCCGAAAGGCAGCTTGCTTAGAAGCCACAGAGCCCACTCCCAACCTGATATTTTAAACAGTTTGCTGTTTTAGTCACGTCCTGTGGCAGCTGGGGCATGAACGTGGCCTGGCCCTAGGCTGTGGGCTCCCATCCCCTGGCTGTGTGACTCCAGGCAGGAGCTCGCCCCCTCTGAGCCTGTCTCCTCACTTGAAAACTAGGCTTGGATGCAAGGTTCAGTCGGTGATGGAGGGATTGCCATGTGGGATACGGGCCTGGCACCGTGCGCCTGCCTTGCTGTGGCCTCTGTGGGGGCCACCCGGTGCCCGAGCCAAGCGGCCGCCGCCCCCCAGCAGCCCCGCCACTCACCACAGCTGTTCTCGTCCTCGCCACTGGGGCAGTGCAGGATGCCATCGCACCAGAGAGAGGGGCTCACGCAGGTCCCGGAGGAGCCACACTCCAGCCCTGAGCACCCGTCCTCCACTTGCAGAGAAGCAGAGGGAGATGCCCATCAGGCTGAGAATCCAAGGAAACCCCCAGCCCTCGGGACAAGAGACAGCAAGCCGTCCCTTCTATTTTAAAAGGAGGGGATGGGTCCTTGCCGACAGCGTATGTCAAAGGAAGCGGGGCTGACCACAGCAGTGGTGAATCCCCCGGGTTTATTACTTCCGGCCGGAGGCGGATCCCTAACCTGGGATCTAGACAGCAGTTCCCCGCGCCCCCAGCACACGGGTGAGTCCTGTGACCCATGATCCCGCCCCAGGCTGGTGGAGGAGGCCTGGCTGTGGGTGCAGGAGCCCCCCGGGGAGGGGAGGCCTCCAGCCACCAGCGTGTACACTGGTCACAGGAGACAGGTGTGCCCCCGAGCTGCGGGCGCTCACGAGTGCCAGGCCCCACCCAGTGTCCTAAAGCACAGGGCGAGCTCAGCGTGCTTGTCCCCCATGTGTCAAAACCGCACGAAGGACATGGGATCTTGACAACCCACAGGCGAGGAGGAAGTACGCCAATGAGACTGGCAGCTTCCAAGAAAGGTTATCCAAGCATCTGAGAGTCAAACAGGAGGAAAGAGATGGGAGACTTCCTGAGGGGCTGGGGGTGGGCCCCCGGTCCAGACAGCAGGGCTGCTAAAGGGCCAGCACAATGCAACCCGGCCCTGGACGGCACTTACTGTACTTCCAGAGGAGGACGGCGGCCAGGGTCGCTCCTGCGAGCAGGGCCGCCAGGGTGAAGGTGATGCACAGGACCTTCTTAGTCTCTGCAGGAAAAGACGTGAGTACACAACTTAGTCACCTGGTTTCTTAGACTCTCAAATTTCATGCAGTACTTTTATGGTATATCTTATCAAGGAATAATAATTTCGTATACACTTAAACGGGGCTTCTCTGATAGCTCAGTTGGTAAAGAATCCGCTAGCAATGGAGGAGATACCAGTTTGATTCCTGGGTCAGGAAGAAGACCCTGGGGAAGGGATAGGCTGCCCACTGCAGTATGCATGGGCTACCCTCGTGGCTCAGCTGCTAAAGAGTCTGCCTGCAATGCGGGAGACCTGGGTTCAATCCCTGGGATGGGAAGATCCCCTGGAGAAGGGAAAGGCTACCCACTCCAGTATTCTGGTCTGGAAAATTCCATGGACTGTATAGACCATGGTGTCTCAAAGAGTCGGACATGACTGAGTGACTTTCTCTTACTTACTTATACACTTAAATATTATTCAGCCATAAAAAGAATGAAATTGAGTCAGCTCTAGTGAGGCAGATGAACCTAGAGCCTATCATACAAGAGTGAAGTAAGTCAGAAAGAGGAAAGTAAATATCATGTTTTAAAACATATATATGGAATCTAGAAGAATGGTGCTGATGAAACAATCTGCAAGGCAGGAATAGAGAGGCAGACACAGAGAACAGCCTTGCGGACACAATGGGGGAAGGACAGGGCGGGACGAACGGAGAGAGTGGCGTTGACACGTACACACCACCATGTGTAAAACAGCAGTGGGAAGCTGCTGGCCCACACAGGGGCTCAGCTCGGCGCTCCGTGATGGCCTCGAGGGGCAGGATGGGGGGCTCGGTGAGAGGGAGGCTCAAGAGTGAGGGGACGTATGTATGCTTGTGGCTGATTCTCAGTGCCGTACGGCGAAAACTAACACAATATTGTAAAGCAATTATATTTCCATTTTTTAACAGTGACTTTTCTCTTTAAGAGCATATCCTGTGAGGCCTTATTTCTTCCAGAGAGTTAACTTTTTGGAGAACCAAAGCAGGAAGCCGTGATATAAAGCAAACATAGACTGAAGTTAAGCTCTTAAGAAAATAAGATAGTCTTTGGGTCTTAAGACAGTCCAAAAGATGATGAATGTAAAAAATTGGTTGAATAAAGGAAATATACCTTGTTCCAGTAATTGCAAGCATAAGCAAAATAATAATAACACTCCCCAAACTGTCATCTCCAGGGATGTCCCTGGCTGTCCAAAGGTTAAGACTCCAAGCTTCCAATGCAGGGGGCCTAGGTTTGACCCCTGGTTGGGAAGCTAAGATCCTGCAAGCCACAAAGCACAGCCATTCTCTCATCTCCACGTCAGTGGTACTAGAGGCAGGAGAAAAAAGCCTCTTCCTCAAGGCAGTTTAGGGAATGGGTGGGCCAGAGTCACACTGACTCACTGACTCGCGGTCACTAGACTCATGTGGCTATTTTCACTTTAATTAATTCTCATGTTAAATGATATTAAATCATTCTGTAAATTCAACTGCTGGATAGTCCCACATGGCCAGTGGCTGCCGCACTGGACTGTGAAGAGGAAGGATGATCTATCACTGTGGGAGTATCTACAGGGCAGTGCTAGGGTCGCTCCCCAGGTCTGAGGACAGGAGCTCTGGGCTCACATTTCTGCCAAGAAAGCAAGTTATAGGACAAGGTCACCAGTGTTTGCTGCTGCTGCTGCTGCTAAGTAGCTGCAGTCATGTCCGACTCTGTGCGACCCCATAGACGGCAGCCCACCAGGCTCCCCCCGTCCCTGGGATTCTCCAGGCAAGAACACTGGAGTGGGTTGCCATTGCCTTCTCCAGTGATGAAAGTGAAAAGTGAAAGTGAAGTTGCTCAGTCATGTCCGACTCGCAGTGACCCCATGGACTGCAGCCTACCAGGCTCCTCCGTCCATGGGAGTTTCCAGGCAAGAGTACTGGAGTGGGGTACCATTTCAAAACAAACCGACACGCCGCTGTTGGTCAGAGCATAAGCCACAAGTCCTGCGAAGCTTCTGAGTAAGACGCCCACCACCGCCACCCCCAGCAGTTCCTGTGCAGAGAGCGCCCCAGAGCTGGTGCTTCCCTCGGAAGATGGGTGGATGGGCGGATGGGTGGAGGAGAGAAGAGCCAGGGCGAAGGCTCTTATACAACCTACTACTCAGCTCCTACAGGAGGACATCGGGCGGCAGTGGTGGAGCCCATGAGGAGGCCCTGCACCCCACCTGTGCACATTTTTCCTTCCAGAAGTCCACCAGACCAAGACGTCCAGTTCCTGGAGTCAGTTGAACCACTGGATCTGAGCATGAACCCTCAGCCCTCATTTTATTACCACATTCTGCAGATTCCACAGTCTGTGCTCAAACCAGCTTAGGAATCACCTGGGAGCCTATTATCCAGAGATTCTGACTCAGCTAGGGGAGAGGAGGCGAGTCTCAGACCTACAGGCTCCTGGGTGAGGTCACGGCCGCTGATCTGAAGAGTGCCATGTGACACCAGCCACGTGTTATCAGGACTTGGTTCATGGTCAATGTGTCTGGCAGCAGGCAAGGTGGGGTCACCAAGGAGGCCCAGGGGAAATTCCAAATGGTCAATTTGATCCATCAGTAAAGGGTGATTTCTTCCTTTGGTTGACTTCCCTGTGTGTCATAGTATCCAAATAAGATACCATGCCTGGTGAATAGAAGGATGGTAAACCAGGTGTCCCGAACCTCTCGTTGACAGGGTGTTCTGAACTAGGCGTCCTGAACCTCTCCTGGACAGGGTGGCAACCCGCCTGGCTCTTGCTAGGAGGCCCCAGATCAGCGGGGGCCCCAGATCTCACTGCGGGTGGACAGCTATTTCGGGATCAGTGTCTGGCCAATCAGACTGGAATGGGTGCTGGTTTGCAATTGTACCTATTTAGGTGTAGGTACAGCTGACTAATCATTTGCCATTGTTATTGTTGTTTAGTCCCTAAGTCATGTCCGATTCTTTGCAATTCCACGGACTGCAGCACGCCAGGCTTCCCAGTCCCTCACTATCTTCTGGAGTTTGCTCAGACTCATGTTCATTGAGTTGGTGATGCTATCTAACCATCTCATCCTCTGCCACCTTCTTCTCCCCCTGCCTTTAATCTTTCCCAGCATCAGGGTCTTTTCCAATGAGTCGGCACTTTGCATCAGGTGGCCAAAGTACTGGAGCTTCAGCTTCAGCATCAGTCCTCCCAGTGAATATTCAGGGTTGAATTCCTTTAGGATTGACTGGTTTGATCTCCTTGCAGTACAAGGGGCTCTCTCAAGAGTCTTCTCCAGCACAATTTGAAAGAATCAATTCTTTGGTGCTCAGCCTTCTTTATAGCCCAACTCTCACATCTGTACATGACTACTGGAAAAACCGTGTGTATGTGTTAGTCGCTCAGTCGTGTCCAACTCTTTGCAACCCCATGGACTGTAACCCTCCAGGCTCCACTGTCCATGGGATTCTCCAGGCAAGTGTACTGGAGTGGGTTGCCATTTCCTTCTCCAGGGGATCTTCCTGACCCAGAGACTGAACCTGGGTCTCCAGCATTACAGGCAGATTTTTTACCATCTGAGCCACCAGGGAAGCTTCTGACCATATGGACCTCTGTCAGCAAAGTGATGTCTCTGCTTGTTAATACACTGTCTAGGCTTGTCATAGCTTTCCTTCCAAGGAGCAAGCATCTTCTAATTTCATGGCTGCAGTCACCATCCGAGGTGATTTTGGAACCCAAGAAAATAAAATCTTGTCACTGCTTCCACTTTCTTCCCGTTCTATCCATCATGAAGTGATGGGACCAGATGCCATGTCTCAGTTTTTTTAATGTTGAGTTTCGAGCCGGCTTTTTCACTCTCCTCTTACCTCCATTGTTATCAACTGTTGATGTAGCCCTTCTGTGACCAGTGTCAACTATTTGCCTTACAGAATTGTTGACCTTCAGGCCTCCAAAACCCGAATGCTAACACATGCATTAAGGTTCAATGTGAAAGATCTCTTGCTAAAACAAACAGAGCCGGGAAGATAAAATGTCCCTTGTACTCTGAGGATCTCTTGACTTTGTGCTGTTTAAGTCACTTGCAAAATACTGTCAGGCTCTGACAGGCTACACACTACTGCATGACCCCAACTCTATATTCTAAAAAAGACAAAATTACAGGGACAAGTCAGTGGTTGCCAAGAGTTAGGGAAGGATGAGCTAAGACCATGAGGGGCTAAGACCAGCGGTCCTCAGCCTGGGTACCATGGACACCTTGGCGGGGTCATCCTTGGTGGTGGTCATTCTGTGCACTGGAGGATGTTTAGCATCATCACTGGCACCTAACGAACAGATGCTAGTAGCAACCCCACCCCGGTCAGAGCAACCAAAACTCTCCGGACATTGCCAAATGTCCCCGAGGGTCAACATCACCCCTTTAGGAGCCACCGGTCTCAATTGAACAGCCACCACCAGAAAGACATCAGTGCAGAGACAAGTAATTTCTTGAACCACGATGAACGGATGGAGGGAAAGAGAACCACACAGGAAAGGAGTAGGACTAATTAAGGAGAAGGGATCGCCAAGGGTTAGAAAACGTAGGAATGGAAGAGCGTAGCGGTGGGGAGGAGGAAGGATGGGAGAGCGATCTGTGAAGCATGACGGAGACAAAGGAAAGGACAGAGACAGAAATACAAGTGACGGCAGTGGTGAAGAGCTAGGGAGGTCTGAGGAGAGGAATCATCAAAGGGTACAGACATTACCTGATGCCACTCTTAAGGTGTGTTGTTGGCACATGGAAATTCACGCTGTCATAGACCTTTAACTGTGTGAGTTGTGTGTGAGGGTATGTGTATCTCACAAAATAAAATGTTGTCAATGAAAATGCCCCTTGGGCCAACCCCTGTGCTAGCTCTGTGCTCCTATAAGTAACTGGCTGTACTAGTCCTGCCTAGGTGGTGCTTACCACATCAGCTTGCCTGCGTTACAAGCTGGGGGAGCGGGCACAAAGGGAAGGGATCTGGAGGGAAAGAAGATAAAATGAAATGTAAGGAGAGGAGGCAAGGGCCTCCCTGCTGGTCCAGAGGCTAAGACTCCGTGCTTCCAACGCAAGGGGCACGGGTTCAATCGCTGGTCACAGAACTAAGATCCTGCGTGCAGCATAATGGGGCCAAAATGATTTATTAACTAATTAAAAGTTTGAACTATTAAAAAAGAAAGCAGACAAATGAGAGTACATGAAAGACATGGAATTAAGGTGGTGGACAGAAGACACACCACCTGCAGTCCCTCACCCGCTCCATGACCCGCTCAGGTCTGTCTATAAGATCCTTCAAGCCATGAGCAAATGTTGCAGATGCTTCTGGGTGACAACCCCACCAGCCACTTCCTTCACTGAATTACAGAATACTCATCAAGCACCTTGACCATGACTTGAGGCATCCAGGAAATGGATACATGGAGAAAGGTTGTTTCTTCCTGCAATGGGGGCTGGGGGCTTACCATTTACTCAAGATAATACAGTAGTAAACCATGCAGACAAGAAGCAGTTCAGAGAGGCTGGGCTGGAAAGACCACCCTGGATGGTACAGGCCAAGCTGGTACAGGAGCGTTAGTGGGAGATGAAGGTCTTAGCAGCTGCATATGTGTGCTGTGTGCTCAGTCGTGTCCAGCTCTTTGCGACCCCATGGACTGTAGCCCGCCAGGCTCATCTGTCCGTGGGATTCTCCAGGCAAGAGTACTGGAGTGGGTAGCCATTTCCTCCACCAGGGGATCTTCCCAACCCAGGGACTGAATTCACCACTCGGGCATATCCTGCATTGGCAGGCAGATTCTTTAACACTAGCGCCACCTAGCTAAGAGGCTCCCAAAGGCCCCCGGGCAGTGAGAACCAGGGTCCGCAACTTTGACACAGAGATGGGGAAGGGAGAGGCATGCACATCAGCCTTGCAGACCGAGGAGAGCTGGCATCGAGCTGGTGGGGGCAGAGGGTACACTGGAGAAGGCAGACCCAAAACTCGGTTCCATTAGAGAAAATAAAAGCAAAAAGGGTCCTACTTGAGGTGCATGCTGTCCCGGACGGAGGTTTGGGCTGCCTGTAGATGACAGGTGTCGAGGCGTGCGTCTGAACCCTTGGCGTGTACTGGGGTACCACGGGCGGGTAGTACTGAGCAGGGTACACCTCGTAAGCAGGGGGAGCCGTGGGCAGCTGCTGAGGGTACAAGCTTTCCGGCTGGTATCCATGGTTCTCATAGTAAGGCCCGACACCTGGTGATGATCCCTAAACAATTAAAAAGAAGATGAATGATACAGAGCTGTACTTATTCCAAAGCTGAAAGAAACATCCCATGGCACTCAGTCAGTTCATGGGGACAGCACTGCAGATTCCTATGTGAAAGTGAAACTCTCAGTTACTCAGTCATGTCTGAGTCTTCATAACCCCATGGACTGTAGCCCGCCAGGCTGATATTCATGGAATTTTCCAGGTAAGAATACTGGAGTGGGTAGCCAATCCCTTCTCCAGGGGATCTTCCTGACCCAGGGATCAAACCCATGTCTCCTGCATTGCAGGTGGATTCTTTACCCCTGGGCCACCAGGGAAGCCCATTGGAATCTTAGTATTCTACCAATTTTTTGTGAACACTCTATGTAGAGAGTGGTAAATCTTTTCTTAAAAATGTGTTTTCTAGCTTGTCATTTGCTTTTTAATTTTGGTTTTACTTGTTGTTGTTTTTCTTTTCTTTTCTTTTCACTTCTCTCCTCCCCTTATGCCTACTTAAAATCTGTCCTTTCCAAACCCTGACTCCCCAAGACCACTGGGGACCCCAGGAGCTTGTGAATTTGCTGTGCTTCAGGCCCACTCCTGCCCCCACAGACCACCCACTCGCTAGGCCACCCTGGGAGCCACACCTGCCCTCTTATCTAAGTGCCCACTTGCAACACTCCTCCCCACTCATTAATCCCTCGCATTGTTCCTTGCTGACTGAGAGCTCAGAGGGGACTAGTATCCTGAGCAGAGGCGACTCAACGCTGAGAATTTTAAATGAGACCTCCAGGGCAGTGTGGTTAGAAAGCAGTGAGCCAATCTTGAGTTTAATAACTCACCAACGTGCCCCTTCCAGAGTCCGAAGCTTGCACCCAAGACCAGAGCAGTAACAGAAAAGGAAAACAGAAGGTAATCTCTCATCTAAATGAGGAAACCAGAGGCCGAAACAGTACAGGCGTCTGGTCTCCATCTGAAGCATCTGAGAACACGCTGACCTTCCCAGGAAAGGTGGCAGCGGGCACGGCAGTCTGACCCTGTGAGTTCCTGTAACATGGGTTTGGAATTTTAAAAGGATCCAGTGAAAACTACCAAATACAGGAACGGGGCAGGCAAAGGTAGAAGAGATACAAGAGACATCTCTGCTGTCAACCACAACTTTTAGTAACCTAAATGTAAGATGATAAGTGAGATGCGATGGGGAAGGTACAGCCAGTCAGTCAGTTCAGTCTCTCAGTGGTGTCTGATTCTTTGCAATTCCATGGACTGCAGTATGCCAGGCTTCCCTGTTCATCACCAACTCCTGGAGCTTGCTAAACTCATGTCCATCAAGTTGGTGATGCCATCCAGCTGTCTCATCCTCTGTTGTCCCCTTCTCCTCCCGCCTTCAATCTTTCCCAGCATCAGGGTCTCTTCCAATGAGTCAGTTCTTTGCATCAGGTGGCCAAAATATTAGAGTTTCAGCTTCAGCACCAGTCCTTCCAGTGAATATTCAGGACTAATTTCTTTAAGGGTTGCCTGATTTGATCTCCTTGCAGTTCAAGGGACTCTCAAGAGTCTTCTCCAGCACCACAGTTCAAAAGTGTCAATTCTTCAGTGCTCAGCTTTCTTTATAGTCCAACTCTCACATCCATACATGACTGCTGGAAAAACCGTAGCTTTGACTAGATATACCTTTGTTGGCAAAGTAATGTCTCTGTTTTTTAATATGCTATCTAGGTCGGTCATAGTGTTTCATCCAAGGAGCAAGAGTCTTTTAAATTCATGGCTGCAGTCACCATCTGCAGGGATTTTAGAGTCCAAGAAAACAAAGTCTGTTACTGTTTCCATTGTTTCCCCATCTGTTTGTCATGAGGTGATGAGACTGGATGCCACAATCTTTGTTTTTTGAATGTTGAGTTTTAAGCCAGCTTTTTCACTCTCCTCTTTCACTTTCATCAAGAGGCTCAAATGTAAGGTACATTTGTATCCAAAGTGTGGGGAGGGGGCGGGGGGGGCGGTTTCAGAGAGGGGGTGGCCAGCCCTTCGCTTCAGCCCTGGCCTCTCCCAGGCTATCAGTAAGTGAGGCCACACTGCTCTTCTGGCCACTGGTGTCCCAGGCACTCTCTTTTAACTGGGAAGGAATCTTCCTGCAATGTGGGAGACCCGTGTTCAATCTCTGGGTAAGAAAGATTCCCTAGAGAAGGAAACGTCAACCCACTCCAGTATTCTTGCCTGGAGAATCCAAAGGACAGGGGAGCCTGGTGGGCCACAGTCCATGGGACTACGAAGAGTGGGACATGATTGTGTGACTAACACATACACACACACACACACACACACACACACACACTCTCTCCCTCTCTCCACCATCCTGCCTCTGTCTGTCCCCACATCTCACCCTTGCCCTCTGTTCCATCCTGATCCGAGCAGGAAGAACCTCATCACCACCACACCCCCTACAACTGCACAATGGCCATGCAACTCCCGCCGCCCCACTCCTGCTCGCCCCTGACCCTCGGAATGCCTTCACAGCATCCAGCAGGCAGCTCTAACAGCACTGACCAGCACATGCCGCCGCTGGAAAGAGCAGAAGGAACCCAGGACGGGGCAAGGCCAGGGAGGTAATGATTAACCACTTACTGAGTTTAAAGCCATCCTGATGTTATCAGCAGCATCAGGTCAAGGGAGGTATTTGGAACGTTCGCGTTGACCTAGAGGAAAGAACGACAGGACTGTTTTGTATCGTACTGGTGAGTTTGCGGGAGATGAGACGTTAAAGAACCAGAAGACGTCCTGGGCAACAGTCACCTCTTGCCACAACCACAGCGGCTCTGCCTGCTCACCTTCACCTTCACCTCATCACTGTACCCACAGCTGCCCACCCCGAAGGAGCTGGGGACCTGCTTACTTGTAACTTACATTCAGGGCCTGCCTCACTCACCCTGCTCCCACGGGGAGGCCCAGACTTCCCAGACATTACATCCACCAAAGTGAGAATCCAGTAAAAAAGAAATGGGCATGGGGAATTTTTAGCCATCAGTTCGGCGGAGGTGATGCAAAGCAAAGCCCTGGGTCAGCTCCTGACAGTGACATGTCCCCTGATGCTCTTGGGTGAGTGACCTCTCTGGATGCCAGGCAGAAGCAAACACAGCCACCACACGGGCTTGTTTGGATGAGGATTTAACTTGAGGGTGCAGGCAGACACCTCACATGCCCTAGCAATGGCAGATGTGATGAGAGGTTGTGGGGTCTTCCCTACAGAGCATCCTCGGAGAGAATGAGCAGCAGTCCACCCACCCCACCCACCATGGAGCAAGTGGTCTAGAGCTCAGACCCAGAGTGGGGCCACACCTGACTTTTCAGATATCCCATCAGGGGCTTTCCTGGTGGTGCAATAGCAAAGGCTCCACGCTCCCAATGCAGGGGGCCCAGGTTGGACCCCTGGTCAGGGTACTAGATCCCACATTCTGCAGCTAAAGATCCTGTGTGCTGCAACCAAGACTCCATGCAGCCAAATAAATAAATAAAATATTTTTTTTAAAAAAACAAGCTGTATGAGGTGAGAGGGAAGTTCAAGAGGGAGGAGACAGATGTATATGTACGGCTGATTCATGCTGATGTATGGCAGAAAGCAACACAATATTGTAAAGCAATTATCCTTCAATTAAAAATAAATAAATCTTAAAAAGCAGAGAGAAAAAAAACCCAACACACACACATACAAATAAGCCACACGGAGTCACTGCAACCTTAATCAACACAAACGTGTCAAAATTCTATAAAACACATTTAGACTCACTCGATACTCCACTTACTATCCCCAAATCCAGAAAAGAAGGAAATTCAGGACTAACCATTTGAGTGGTTTCTAAAGATATCGGTCCAAGAAACTTTTCAAGCAAGAATACTGGAGTGGGTTGCCATTTCCTCTTCCAGGGGATCTTCCCAGCCCAGGGATTGAACACACTGTCTTCTGTGTCTCCTATATTGGCAGGCTGAGCCGCCTGGGAAGCCCTATACAATACACTTATCAACATATAAGGAAATTGGTCACGAAAAATAAAGCCCTTGGTCACCTTGTTTGCAGACGTTTTTGAACAGTGGTGTCTAGGAAGACCATCAACATAAAAAGCTTTATAGTAACAGCCCATCTGATGTCACTCTTTCCATCATAAGCAAATAGTGGCTTTTGTCCACCACTCCTGGCTGCCTTGAATTGATCAAACAGTAATTCCAAGAAACGGCCTTCACAATCACCCATCCACAGGCCCTGTCCTGGGTGAGAAAGCTCCGGGCTTCAAAGCTGGCAGATCTGGTCAGAGCATCTTTCATCTGTAGAGTGCCTGGTGCACAGGCGATGCAAGCAGCAAGGCAGGGTGGTTGCGCCCATGACTCCTGGGACCAGACTCTGGATCCAAACCAAACTCACTCACACTAGCCATGCCCTGGGAGCAAGTCTAATAAAGCTTCCGGGCCTCGGTTTCCTTGTCTGTAAAACAGGGAAATGGTTTAACGAATCATTAGGGTTGGTTTGCCTAAGTCACTGCTTTTTAAAAGTGGTTTCACTGTACATAATACAGAAGTTATCTAGGACATACTAGAAGCATCTTTCCGAAGAATGTAGTTCGGTGTTTACTTAGTATAAGAGGTTTTTGCACAGTGTAACAAACATAGTGCTTACAAACCTGTTTGAAAAAAAAAAAAAAAGGAGGGGGAGGGGATAACAGTAGCACCCAATACAGGGTTGAAAAAGAAATAAAAGGAATCCAAATTGGCAAAGAAGAAGAAAAACTGTCACTGTTGGCAGATGGCATGATACTTACTATACACAGAAAACCCTAAAGATGCCACCAGAAAACTACTAGAACTACTCAATAAATTCAGTAAAGTCGCAGGATACAAAATTAATACACAGAAATCTCTTGCAGCTTGACACAGTAACAATGAAAGATCAGAAAAAGAAATTAAGGAAACAATCCCATTTACCATTGCAAGGAAAAGAATAAAATACCTAAAGGAATAAATCTACCTAAGGAGGCAAACTGGGGAAAATTCTTAAACAGATGGGGATACCAGACCACTTTATCTGCCTCCTGTGAAACCTGTATGCAGGTCAAAAAGCAACAGTTAGAACCAGACATGGAACAACAAGCTGCTTCAAAATTGGGAAAGGAGCCCATCAAGGCTGTACCTACAGAGCTGACTCTGTAGCCCACCAGGGTCCCCTGTCCATGAAATTTTCCATGCAAGACTACTGGAGAGGGTTGCCATTTCTACTCCAGGGAATCTTCCTGACCCAGGAATCGGACCTATATTTCTTGAGTCTCCTGCATTGACAGACGGATTCTTTACCACTAGCACCACACGGGAAGCTCCTAAAACTGACCATAAAGCTGATAAATGTTGAACAGCCCATAGAGGCAGGATGGGCCTGATTGGCAGCATTTAGAGATTCGCAGATCTGCATCTGCAAAGAATGTCCAAGATACCAACATGAAATCCACCAGCTCTGAAAAACCCACTGGAGCTCAAGCTGGCACTGCCTCTTCGAGTCCCAAGCAAAATTATTATTTGACTCGTTACACATTAAAAAAAACCTCAAACATTAACTTGGATAAATAAAAATTTAAGTAAGTGTGTTTAATCTTGGGAAAACTTGCTGAACAAGTCACAAGGAAGATGTACCAGATCTTTCATTTGCTTTTCATGTAAAGATAAAATAAAAGAACCAGTTCGTGCTGACAGCTTTGAGATTTTTTTAAGATTAAAAAAATAAAAAGAGTCAACATGATTCCAGGTATGAGGGAAAAAACCTGACCCATACCCAGGAGGAGGGGATCAGCATGTAGAATATACACGATGTTTACATCTTTACATGGGTGTGATGATCACATATTAATAACCTTCCCTACTTCTGCTCTGTAACGAGAGACATTTCTGAGACTTGACAGCAGTAGAGAATCCTCTCATCTAAGCAGGAAAAGCTGGCACCTTCCTCGGATTAGTTTCAGGTGATTCCTGCCCTGGCCAAGGTTCTCGCCCCTGGTTTCTCTGCCCACAGTGGCAGGCACTCCCTGGGCCTCTGAGCTATCTTACCAGTTATAGGTTTGGTTGGAGTTTCAGGAAATGAAAATCTGATCTCACTGGCAGCTCTCCCAGTTCAAGAGCCCTCTGAAAGGAGTGATGAATCAGTGCTCGAAATCCACACTCCCTAGTCATTCAAGATCCCAAACAGTGAGACCAGGAAGCCAGGAGCCCAGGGGCACAGGGAGCCGCAGCCGTGAACTGTCCCCTAAAAGCCCAGGACCCAGAAATGACTGCAGCACAATCCTCTCTCACCCAGAGATCCCACGGCTGGCAGACCCTGAGGACCCAGGACACCAAATGTGCCCAGATGGGCTGCCACGGACTCTGGAAGGGAAGACGAGTCGGACTGCCCCTAACCGTCGGAGGGTGTGTGTGTGTGTTAGTAACTCAGTCATGTCCAGCTCTTCGAAACCCCATAGACTGTAGCTTGCCAGACCCTCTGTCTATGGCATTCTGCCATAGGAGATACTGAAGTAGGTTGCCATTTCCTCCTCCAGGGGATCTTCCTGACTCATGGATTGAACCCAACTCTCCTGCATTGCAGGCAGATTCTTTACCATCTGAACTACCAGGGAAGCCTAACTCTCGGTGGCCAGACACAAAGGAAGAAAGGTCTCCCGTGGGACCTGGATCTGATGGGGACGCACTGTGTCCAAAAGGGGATCACGTTCTGTGCGATTAATTTCCAAAATAGGCAATTCCACTCCCGTACGAGATAGCCCCTCTCTTTAGCTGGTTTCTGAAAGGAACAAGACAACCCAGATGGCAGAGACAACACTGCCTCTCGAATGTTCTCTCCGGGCATCAGAGGACACCCGTGAGTGCTCTTGATTCCGGAAAGCCAGCCTCAGGGAAGCACTTTTCCCCAAAGTGACCAAGACTCACATGTGGCGAAGCTCTGCCCTGCTGCTTGCTCCTGGCACATGTCCACTTCAACGTCGCCCACTTGAGTCACACGGCAGAGCATGACTGTCCCGGGCCACCCTGGGCTCTCCTTTCAGGGGACTGACTCAAGCCTCGCATCACCTGCCCGGCCACCACTCGACAGGACGGTGTTGTGGAATGCTACCAGCCTCCCATGATGTGATGAAGCTATTTCTAGACAAGGAGGGTTCCTCCTTACAGTATTATCTTTACTCTGGACTTCAAAACACATTTGCTGGAGATTTATTTTGAAAACTACCAAACCAACGGAAATGAGGTCAGAGAGGTAGATAACTGATGCCCACGAAGGAGTCAGGGGTTTTCCCTATTATGAAGGCGCCACTGACTTTCCCTCACACATCATTCATGCATGGGCGCCTGCACCGGGCCCCCTCTAATGCCTTCCAGACGTCAGTCGTGTGATGAGGTGTGACGGGTGGAAGAAACCCCAACTTCCTGACCTTGGATTCGGCGTGCCTTCTTCAAACTCCAAAGCAAACACCACCAACAGATTATCTGAGGGTCCATGACCAATGGAGCCCCTTATGCCTCAGCCACTGCATACAATCACCTTACACGTGGAGAGGTTCTCGGGTCCCACTGGGGACAAAATGCACTGTGAGAGGGAAGTTAACAGAGATGGT